GACGAAAGAGTGACATTACATTACAACATTACAACCATTTAGATAAACTCTCATCCCGTTATCGGTTATTGTGCTCAAATGCCTTTCAGCCATCAGAACTTACTCTAGCTGTACAAGGGTATTTTCAAACACTACTTTCATGCCGCGGGAAGGAGCCTGGTGGAGTAAAGAACACTGGGGTAACTGTCCGTCCACACCTACCAGCCTCCTTTTCACGAGGCATCTGGAGAGCTGCTACCAGCAGGCAGTCGGGGAACAAGACCACGCGAGCTCACTCTCACTGGTGGACTCAAGTCTCAATGCCCCTCACAACTTCCCAGTCCAACCCGCAAACAACCAAGTCCTCCTTGCACTTTGTCTTCTTATTTTCTTAAAATGTGAGTATGTCCTTTTAGAAAATGTACTTTGACTTTGCCCAGTCAAGCCTTTACCACATTATCATTTACCACATACCACAGCATGCTCTCCATCCTTTATGATTCCTTAATCTACCCAGATTGACCTCCTAAAGATGGTTTCATTCTGATAAGAGCTCTCATGCTGTTACAGAGAAACTGAATAAATGTAATCCAATTGTTCCCAGTCAATGTGGACAAATGGATGATCAAATTAGATGAAATCTCAAAGATGCGGGGTCACTTTGTTTCAAGGATTAATATCATCAGTTTATTTCAGAGCTTCCAGAGCTGCCGTTTTGTAGAAATGCGATGATATAAAGACAACAGACACCTATATTTGTGTAGAAAATATTGATGGATTGATTTATTGGCAGAGATTTTCCTATCTTCTTTCACCATATGCCCTTTTTATTAGGTGCCTTTTGAGGGGAGAACGACATTGTGACAGCGTGCTGGCTGAGATAATTAGAGTTCCAGTCATGTGACAAGAAACAACCAATTACAGCCGGTCCATATCTTTTCTTCTTCCTTAATCAGCAGTCTATGGAAATATATAAAGAAGTTCATTATTTTGCTGGTAAATAATTTCAACGTCATCATCTTCATCGCAGCTTGCAGGATTTGGTTGCTTTGCAACGGCAGGTGCACAACCTCCAGATCACCTTGGATGAAAGATGTGATGAGAGCGTCGCGTCTGGTATTTTCCACACGTTTGTTAGCGGCCTCATATGCATCCGACAGATTGAAACATTGGCATTCATTTGGAGTCCTGTGTCTGTCCTCCAGAGGCAACGCAAAATCCAATGTTCACTTTCGTTGAGCTCCGTTTTGGCCTCCACCAACTCCCAATGCTAATATCTGGTTCTTAAGACGCTAAATGCTCCAAAATGTTAGCAGCTAGTTGCATATTCTGCTTATTGATGCTGCTTGACAGTTGCAAACCCAAATACCACAACAATGACCATAAAACAGAGTTGAGAGAAATTGCAGAGTCAGTTGTGGGTTCTTCTTCTTCTCTCAGCAGCAGTGAATAAATGATATTTTTGATTCAGTTTAGCACAATCCGATGTTTACACTTAATTTCGTCATCTTGGTAGGTCATGATCTCTCTCCACTAAGTGTTACATGCTCAGACACGACCCCCTCCGGGCTTTAAATAGCAGCAGCCTGCTTGGCCTTGTCCCCGGGGAGGAACTTTCAATCTCAGGTGAGATCCCATCAATTTTCACAACATAGCGAGGATGGATCAAAAAATGATGGGATTTGAAGAAAAAAAAGCGTCAAAACAGGCTTATGGTGATGAGTTTCTTTGTCAACACACACTTTAAGCCTGACGAGCTGTTGTCACCTCTCACAACTGCGGCTATTCAGTAAGCTTTTATCGGAGAGTGTTTTTAATGGTCATATCTGAGTGTAGCCACACATCAAAGCTTGATTACATCTTTCTAGCATTTTCTATGTTGGAAATCTCAGTGCTTTTCTTTTACCACTGTCAAAGAAACGAAGACATTTCAGTTTTTGTACGTGTGAGTGTTGTTAACCAAAGAAAATGAACAAGGTGATCTGGTAATTTAGGAATAACAGTATGTAAAATTATATGTTTAATGCTTATTCACTTCAACTGGGGCACTTTTACTCTGAATTCCGCATTTGGGAGCGAGCAGCGCATTCTGTTTGTGCTCCCACGCCTTTGGCTGTCATAAATAGAGCGACACAGTGCAGATGGTAGGAGCCTTCGGGAGCCAAAGCAGCCATCAACACGCAAACTTATTGATTCTCGGTAGGCTGAGAGACACAAAATGCAACTAAGAAGGAGCGATTTGGGCCACTGGAGTGTCTACTCGACGGTCTAAATGTCTTTTAAATGCGATTACAAACACATCGAACCGGCACACGTTATTCCTCTTAAATGAGAAACAGATGCCTCCCCCCTGGCTTTTCTCATCTCCAAACAACCCACTCCATACAAGATTATCCAAGTTCAATGAGAAACCCACAAGCAACTGTTTGCATCACACATGACACAGAGGAATGTAGATGTCGGTTTTCTAATTCCTCTGTGCCCACGTCATGACCTCGCCTCCTCCAGGGACTATCAAGCCTTAATGTAATCTGCCACTTTGATTTTCTGCCCAATGTCATCATCATATCAAGAGTTTGGAGTACAGGAATTGGAAAAGTGCTATAATTCTGATGATGGACCACTGGATATGATTTTGCATCTTGTTAGTATAAAACACAAACTTCCTGTTGGTTTAGAAGTTTTGGTTTGTAGTTTTATCCCTCACACAGAGCAATTTGGATTGATTGTGCACATCATTTATTCCATTTGTTATAGTCCTCATGGCAGAATATGAATGACCAATTAACCATGAGATGTCGAGCACACGGTCATGAATAAAAGATTTTAATAACATGGTGCGATGACCATTTCAGCAATCTGCATGTCTTGTCGTGGGGGAGGCCATGTGTTTGTGTGCTTGAATCCACTCATACAACATTTTCCAGTTCCGTGTGCTCATCGTGTTCCAACGTCTTTCAGTCGAGTTCAGGCTCAATATATTTAAACATGCAATATATATACAAACACAAACTCTGTGACACTTAGACAGTTACAAATGATTATGTATTTAAATAGTGGACGTCTTTTGGTTGTGATATTGTAATAAGTTAGTATAGCAAAATGTACATGATTTGAGTTGCAATGGCACTGACCCTGTAGGCTACACACCCATGCTTGTGGAATTCAGGGAAGTGAAGAAGAGTTCAGGTCGTATTTCCATCATCCAGCAGGAAAAGTGAACCGCAGTCAACGAGCCACAGCCAGTTGTCGGCGTGTTGGCGAGGACGCACTCTGCAGAGCGCCGAAGCCTTGCCGCAGCAGAGTGCGATTCACTTGTTTATTCAATGTTCATTCAGCTTTATATGTTTTTTGTCCAAATTGCATTAATAGAGATTTGTTGCTTTAATAGCTGGATACTGTTTTTCCATTCCTACTGTTCCTAAATTACCTCACGTGAGTGCTGTGTGATCTGCCACATACAGTGTGGTGGAGGACTTGTTAAATTGAGTAAACTTAAACCACATGAAAAGAAAGAATCGTTGACATATCTTGCCTAGGATCAATGTCGTTTCCTGGACTAGCAAATAACTTTCTAGTAAAACCACAATGTGTAATATTCACACATTTGCTTATTTACGTTTACATTAAGCTTACGCTTTTATCCAAAGGAACTTAAAATAAGTGCATTCAATCTACAGACCCAGAACAACAATAACCAAGAAAGTACAATATCTTCAGGAAAGACATCTTCAAGACGTCATTGGGAATCTCATTCCACCGTTAAGGAGCCAGGACAGCAAACTGTTGGGGTGTTGTTAAGTGTTTAGCTCTCTTTCAGGGAGTGACAAGCAGATTGGCAGAGTCAGAACGACGTGAGCGGTTTGACCGTGGTCTTGATGTAGACTGGACCTGATCTGCGGGGCAGCCTCTGTTAACCCTTGAAGGTAGCGGAGGAGCAGAGCAGTGTCGCTGAATTAAGGTTGAAGACCAGTCGAGCAGCTGCATACTGGAAGAGGGAGTTACAATAGTCAGGGAGACGACCAGAGCCTGGACCTGAACCTGCGCCGCTTTCTGAGTTAGAAGGGGACGTGGTCTCCTGATGTTGTGCAGCATGGATCTACAGCAGTCTGTTGTCACTGTGATGCTGGTTGTGACAGAGAGTTGACTGTCGAGAGGTTTCTAGCAGTCAGGGCTGCGGTTAGGAGGAAAGTTGTCAAAGGTAAGGTCCCGGAATGAAAAGAAGTTCAGTCTTGTGAAGGTTATTTTTCAGTCGGTGTGCGGCCATCCAATCAGATGTTGGTCAAAGAGATTCTTGCTGCTAACTGTGTCTCAAATTGTGGAACAGACAGGTTTAGTTTATTGTCATCAGCACAGCTGTGGCAGGAGGACCGCAGGAGTGAATGACAGGGCAGAGGCAGTTGGCGTACAAAGAGGAGAGGAGGGGACCAGCACGGAGCCTTGCGGGACCCCAGTGGTGAGAGGACAAGGTTGAGACACCGATTCTCTCCCGGTAGGTGGGGTCGTTGGGGAAGGATGAGAGAAGTCAGAGAGCAGAGCTTGAGGAGCCTGAGACACCAAGTTGACGGGAGGAAATAAGGATCTGGGGGTTCACTGTGTCAAATGCAGCAGAAAGGTCAAGGAAGGTTAAGGACGGAGGAGGCTGCTTTGGCAGTGAGGAGTGGCTCGGAGATGCTGCGTATTTGTGTTTATGTTTCCTGTAACAAACATATAGATTGTTGAGATACTTCTCGCTGGAAGTCAACTCATCGACTGTCAACAGTGGACTGATTAGAGCGGATGAGATGCTCAATTATAATTAAGCATCAGGTTTTTATTTTGTAATTGCATCAGGAAACCCATTAGCTTTTGCATCAAACGATCCCATCTCAGTGTATTGGGGTCCCAAACACTGCTAAGAGTCCCTTATTATCCCATAAATGTAATACATTAATTGGATTAGATTAGCTAAAAGTTTAGTTTAGTATCAAATGTGTTTGTGCGTCGAAATAAGTCAAACTGTGCTTGTGTGTCGTGAACAGGTGTGACCATGAAGCTGATGGATGAGGTCGCCGGCATTGTGGCATTTCGGCACTGCAGCACCAACATTGTCACGGCCTCTGTGGATGCCATCAACTTCCATCGCAAGATTAACAAAGGTGAGGATGACGTGGAGAATACACTTTGCACTAGTGATACGTGAACGAATCAATCACAGGTTGGTGGATACCTTCCTCTAAAAGATGTACTACAATGTTGGTAAAAGGCTGCAGGAGGTTTCAAGATGCTGCTTTTCTTTTTTGAACCGTATTATCAACAACTCTTGCTCTCCATTCTAAGCCTCTAATTTCAAAATGAATTCAAGGATTTTCGTCAGCTCCGTTATCCACTTATCATTTACCCGTCTTACTGGAAAGAAATGACTTCACTATGACGGTGGAATATATCCGGCTAGTTGGGCGCTAGGTTAAAGGTTTGGACCACACGGTTAATCACGTGCTTGTCTCAGCATTTAGGAGTAAAGATGTCGTGCAGAAATCGAGGAAAGAACAAAAATACTACAGTTACACCCCCAAAGACAAAGTAGACTTACTCCCTCTGTCTCTGTCTTTCTCTACTCTCACGGTCACTTTACAGCAAACTTCTCATGAATATCTGGTAAAAAGTAGGAAAAGATTGTTAAGCAATTGATAGTTTGTTTGCTCATCAGCCTTAACAAATCTAAATATGTCTGACAGAGTCAGAGTGGTGCAGTGGTGGAGACCTGGATTGCTTCATGGACGTTTCTCAGCTCAGTGTCTGTTTTATCCATCCATGCAGATGATGAGATCCAGATATTCAGCCTTAAAGTTCTGAGTCTAGGATTATTTTGGGGTATTACATTGACGTAGGACCAGCCGCATCCACTCTCATTGTTGTGATGTGGAAAGAAAATGTTATATACTTCATAGCTTTTCGAGAGTGCCGGGGCCGCTGTAAGTCTACGCTATTTTACAGTCACGTACTATCAAACACGGGTGTGTCGTTATTCAAGCACAACCCTTTTTAGAGAGGGGTCATTTAAAACATTTCAAACAAGCCTTCCGGTGTTTCAGGAGCAGAAAACTGAACAGATCCATGTCCATCTTTCAGCTGCTTCTAAACTACTACCACTGACAACAGGGTGTACCCCCCTGTGTCCTCCATTTCATGAAGAGAATGTTTTAAACCTTCCCATTGTTTACTACATAAAGCTAGACGTGGATGTTATGAAATGTTTTTCAGGTATTTCAAGCACAGCAGCATTTAAGGTTAAAGTCAAACACACATTCAAAGAATTTACATCAGGCTTTGTTGTGTTTTTAGTCCCTCGCAATTAAAGATTAGAAAGACTAAATTCATTATTCAGCACCAACAAGTGTGGATTATTTTACAGTTTTAAAGGCAAAAGCAAATTTCTTCATAAAACCCTTTACATGTATTTTGGTAGCAGACAGTAAGTTGCCGCACAGACCTTTGTGGGGCTAAAGGAAGCCGCCGAAATATCACTCGGTTTATCAACTGGTTTACAATTCAAACAATTGTCATCAGACAGAAGATACACAGAAGACCTGGATTTAAACTACAGAAAAAATCATAAAGCCAAGTATCCATTCTGACCTATGTGTGTGACTATTGTAAAGGTGTTTTTTCTGTATCAAATTGTTTATGCGGGACAAAGCTCCACAATATATGTATTCTCTAGAAATTGTGAAATTAAGCTAAAGAATGGCGCCATAGATTAACGTATTGTTTAGTTTGGTGTGGAGAGCTTCTCTAGTAACAAATAAACTGATGTTTACACATTATAACCCTTACAGGACTTCCCCTTTATCCCACAGAAAAATAACTGTCCAGATAGACAAAGTAGTTCCAGAGTTATTACACTTTTTATCATAAAGGTGCCATTTTTGGAGCAGAGGCAAAGAAACATGTTGAGGCAAGAAAAGGATATCAAAGTCCCGCTGAAATGATCTTTGTTGAGTGGATTGATTTTCCTTCGCAAAGACGTACGAGTAGTTCACCTCGGTGTCAGACTGCGGCCTGAGTGGAGCTGTGACGGCAGTGATGTGTATTCTTCTGCACTGAGAATATGTCAGTGAGGCGCTGGCCATTGATCCAGACGGTGCTCTTCTCCATCATCCGCCACAGCCAAATGCCCAGCGGCACCGAGAAGCAGAGGGGAAAGGCGTGAAACTGAAAGGAGATATTTGGGGGAGGTAGAGGGGACTGCTAATGGTGAGAGCGAATTAAAGGAAAAGGAACATGAATTCAGACAATTGTCTTCTTGTATAGTTTAGATGTCATTGAGTCAGCATGAGATTTTACACTTCAGTGTTCAAATCGCCCAAATAACTAATGTCAGACTTTGAAATGAGGATATTCCTTGGTACAGTACAGTCTGAAACATGTAGAACAAGAAACAAAACAACCAGAGTGCCTCATTTTGCTTCTACGACCTGAGAAATATAATTACATTTGTGGTCCAACTGCGATAGAACAAATAGTGTAAATAAAGTAACTCTCCACATGCAGATCTACGGTCCAAACCGAGCTTAGTGCAAACAACACGAGGCTCGGGCATGGACTCTCCTCACAGCAGATTATCTTTATCAAACAGCTCCTCCGAGATGAGACAGTTTCTACTCCACGTAAATCAATTATTTATCAAGAAGGACTGTAAAAAATCAAGCCCAGACTCACGAGCAGAACACGCTTTATTAAGTCTAAAACATCAGCTCCACACATAGTTTGGCTGAATGACACTGGATTCATTTTCTGTTGGTATTACGACACACTCACACTTCAGTAAACTATTCGTTAACATGACTAAGGATTTTCTGTACTTATTGGGTTTCTTTTCTTTACTGAGATACATTTTATTTCTCTGCATTTCCTCCGGCAGGCTTCACGCACTGAGATCATTTTGATCGAATGCATTACGTTGGCACATCCGTCTCGTCCTACTTTGGCAACAAAGCAGAATGGTTATTAACGCTTTCTAAACAAACCGTCTGTTACAAAATCAATTAGGAGCATTTTCTGATCTAGTATAACTATTTGGCTTCATGGTTAAGGTTAAGTCAGCATTGGTGTAATGCTGAAGATAAATCGGCTCTTTTAAGGAGGAGAATGGAAGCAAACCATGATCTCTGGTGTCAAAGTCCGTCTATATGTTCACCCATCATCATCATCAAGCAGCCAGTCTGCAACGGCACTATTGCTACTTGAATTAGGCTACATTGCATTACTGCAAATAATGGCTGTACTTCTCTACAGTTGTTATTTGCATGAACCGCAAGAGCTGTAAGCATAGGTTGATTTAATTATTTAAACAGTCAATGTTGCTTTGTTGTTTAATCTTTAATCTCACTACTGCATAAGTAAAGAACTCAAAGGACAATAACACTGACATTTTAGAATAGCATTTTGCGAGAATTTGTTTGCATTTTATACTTGTAGGTATTTTCATTAACTCTTTTATAAGATCTCAGCCATAGAATCAAGATCTGTCTCAGACCGCAGGGATGACACCTTCTTTCCTCGTCTCTATGGCAACAGCAGAAATAATACAGTAAACAAACATAAAATAGACTAAAGGAATGCTCAGTTCCAAAGTTGACTTTTTTCTCTCCTCGCTCCAGTGACAAGAAGGAGAAGAGCACTTATTTCTGTTGAGTCAAACGCACTAAATGGATTAGAATGCAGCTCAGGATGAAATCATGAAAAAAAACAGGTAGCAAAAGCTCTGCAGTGCACATGACGTAGCCTCTTTATTTGTGGTTGTAAACATTAAACCCCCTTTTGACTGCAATGCAACATTCTTTTTGAAATGTTTTTAAGTACATAAGTAGGCTTTATTTTTAAGAGACCGATTGGCTGTATTTGTTAAATTCATCAGCGCCCTGCTTCACTCTGCCGACTCCCTCAGTGCAACACACTTAAATAGGTTTCATGATGCAACATTGTAAAGAAGATTGCAAAGCCTGCATTTGAAATCAATACAGCAGCTTACAGCTATACATTAGGGTATTTGGTTTGATTTCAGCTCATCGTTATTTTATATATTGTTTTTAATATTATTGTGTTGACTCAAAGCTGTCAGGTGAGTTCAAACTTGTCATTTTGTTATGAGATAGTTGTAACATAATATTTCCATTTTATTCTTATCCGAAAGGAGAGAGTAGCTCAAATGAAACAAGCATGTGTTTAAAACATTTAACCAGTGAACTGCTTGAAAATCAAACATATTTGTGTTCCCTCTTTGTTGATCTGCAGGCTGCGTGGTGACCGTGACGGGGCGGCTCACATACGTGAGTGAAAGGTCTATGGAAATTGAAGTGTTGGTGGATGCTTCCTCGCTGGTGGAGGCAGACCAGTATCGTGCTGTCTCTGCCTTCTTCACCTTCATCTCCCTGGACAAGGACAATAAACCTCTGAAGGTCCCGGCTCTCGAGGTCGGTACCATCCAGTCTAATGTCTGTCCTTGGTTTAATACTGTACTTCCCTTTATATCGAGATAAGGCTACATTTGCACAGGTCTTAAAGAGATTGAGAGTCAAATGTAGATTATATGATGAGTGCACCAAGTGTAGCAAAGCTTAGTCTGAGCTCTTCTTTAAAACTTTTTATGGTGAAGACATAAGGCCATAGATGGCTTTAAGGTCAGTGCTCACTTTTTATTTCTGCGGGCCTTGAATAAGATATTTTAAACCTGTCCCCACAGAAAAGAATAACACACTGAAATATAAAATGAACTTTCCAGAGCAAAATATATATATATATATATATATATAAGTTATGTGTAAAAACATTACAACTTTCTATTCAACTGGACTCAGTGTAAATTGTTACTTTTCTTTTTTGGAATATTACTGTCACTTTTGAGAAGCTCACATCATGAGTGACAATGTCCTTCATTTGGCAATGTTGTGCATCAGCGTCTTGTCAGTGCATTAACTATTTTGCTGTGTCTGCGCAATAGCCTTAAGCAGCGAGGGCTAAATGCTAATATCTCCCCGGACATCTCTGCGTGGCTGACTTAGCACTTATTGTCAGAGTGTAAAGTGGATGTAATTGTTTACCTGCAGACAGGAGAGACGCTTGCTGTTTGCTCCGGCTCGGCACTACGGCACCGAACACCGTGGTTGTCATGATCCCTTTAAAACTCATCCAGCTATTCTGCGAGATGAAGTTGGTTTGCCGGTGAACGCCAGTGATAGCATTTACTTCTTCTTTTTCCAACATTGTCGAAGAAAAAGAAAGAAATATATAGTTTTTCAAATTAAATGAAGTTTCTGATGTGTGATACATCGGAATCATGGCAATCAGAAACTTGGTAACGTCTTCAGTATGGCCTGGAGTGGACAGCTCTTAAGAAATTTGACAGCCTAACAGCAGGTAATTGTTCTCTCAAGTGCACACTTCAGAGAGTTTGCACTTAAGCTGATTATCACACATTTTAAGTGTATGCAAAGTATTGAGTAAGCCAGGAAAATTCATTGAAAGAGAAAACTCAGCAGCAATAATTAGCTATCAAGCACAAAGCTGTTTTCCGGGTTATCCTCCCTCTATCCTAGAACGTAGATATAACTATATAATATATAATGGATACTACAAATGACTGTCTAACTCAACCTGAGATCTTAACAGAACGGTGTTGTGCGTTACAGCCTGGTAGCCAAGCGTGGCCTTAAGTACCCGTCTGAAGTGTCGATGGTGGTTATAGGTGGGTTGTCATGGCGCCAAGTGCTGCATTGACCCCTCTATCCATGAACACAAACACACTCGTAAAGGCGCGGCATCAGCCATCAACACCATGACACATCTTATCTGAAAACAGACTCCTCTGCATCGGCCCCAGACGGACTGAAATGCGCATCTCGTGTGCGTCACCGCCGGTTGCTCTTTTCAAAAGCGCCCGTCATTCTCCCCCCATTTCCATTTCACACAAACCTGTGGTTGGTTTGCTCCATTGTCTGCCTCCGTCAACGCATTCATTACCTGGTTTTCCATCCTGGCCAAGCTTTTGTTTTAATGGCAGAGAATTGCAGCAGTGGTTATTCTTTGTAATTTCTCTGTTCATCTCAATTTTATGAAAAGGGAGGCTAAAAAAGAAATCTCCCGGTTAATTTTAATAATTCATCCTCAACACTATAAATAGAAATCTAAATGGAGGCAGAGCTGCCAGGTCTTTGATGAAGCATGTCAGATAAACAAAGGCAAGGACAAAGAAAATTGGTCATTGTGTGTGAAGTTACAAATGGTAGAACAGATGACTGATCACTATCTGCGTGGGTTTTTATTCTTATGACTTATGAGAACGAGGCTCCATCAGGGCTTTTTCTAGCTTCCTTATGAGCTGATGGCTTAAACATGGAAGCAGACTGAAAACAAGGGAGGGACCTTGAGCACACACAACTGGAGACCTTAGATGTCACTTCCTTGGTGTTTGGTCACATGTAGGAAAGCGGGTTGAACACGCCAATCCATTTAACACTGGGATATGTCACTATGAGTCTTCTCTTCTGACTCTTGGCAATAATTTGAAATATGCTCATTTTCCAAAGTGCCAAACTATTTCTTTAACGGAGCTGTATTCACATTTCTCAGTATTGAAATAGCAGCAAAAAACTATTGTTTCTATAAAGATACAGTGGAGTAATGTCTACTTGAGGTGAGGATGGAGTCTTTGTGAAGGAGAAGCCTCCATCCTCCTCAGGTAAACACTATTAGCTCACTCAGCTCTTTTGCAGAGTTTGAACCGTTAGCTCTTTTTTGCCATGTTGAAAATCACATTCAAATGCACCCAGTCTGGGATCCTGCACAATGCAATCTCACTCCAAGTTATCTTCTATGATTTTTCTAAAAATGAAGCTATATCTTCATGCTCTCCGAGTTGCCCCATCTTACTTATTCAAGAAATCCAATCTGTCGCCCTCGTATTACGTCCATCTGGTTGAACTGGAAAACTGTGTACCTAATTATAAAACAAATCAGCCTCTCTATATTGTTCTTCTATTTGTTTCAGGAGCATATCCTGTGCTGAAGTATGATTTTAGTGAGTACGGTTTTCAACTTGTGCCTTAATATTGATCACCTGTGTTTGCAGTGCAAGATATCACTTTTAAATGATTTCCGAGGTTCAGGTTGAGTCTCCTCCTCCAGCTCTTTAAAGTATTTAAATGGTCACTGAATGTTTTATCCTTCTTTCACCAAATCCAGTTCAACTGTGAGTTTCCAAAAACGGCCATGTCAAATCCCTACTAATAAAATGTTCCCGATATCACGGCAGATTTAAACCCAGTTGTGTCTATAAATAGCCGTGTCAAAAGGGTGGCTCGTACAATTGTTTGATACAGGTGATTTTTACCCCTTAATCTCAGCCTCACTTTCTCTTCAGTGAGCCCGCTGTGTACTATTTTTAGGTTCTCCTGCTTTAGCTCAGCAGGGGTCGGGGGCGGGGGATGGGGGGTGTTGTCACCAGCGTAGCACACTGTAGGTAATACTGAAGAGGGGAAAGAGGACAGCAAGAACGGAAAGTCGGATAGCGAGCGATGCCTCGCCTCTCTGCAGCAGTACCCTTAGGTTTAAGTACTGAGATCATGTATGTGCACGCTGGGACGGCAGTGGAATAATCAAAAACATGCCTGGAAGCACCTTTGACCAGCGTATGTCTTTGTTATGTTTCTGATGATTTTCAATGGCGTAACGGTCGCCCGAGGTTGGAAAAGGCTGGCTTGCTACCAGAAGGTCAGCGCTTTGTGCCAAGCGCATACTGAATACCAGCTGTTGGTGGGAGGATGTGGTTATACTGAGTGTGAACATGTGCTTCAGTATGAATGAAGACGTTTTCGCTGAAAAAACGAGTGCACATTGAGCAGACCTTGTGCACAGGCATTATAGTCTGAAATGTACATACAGTTAATAAAATGAATTAATTCTTAGTTTATGTACAGACGGTTTGCTACATCAGTGTTTCAGGATATCTCTCCTTCCTCACATCTTCTGTTCTTCAGTCAACCTTCACTTCTTCCTCTATTCCCCTCCCCTCTTTATTTCGATCCCTTTTTACACTCTATTCTTCATCTCCCCTCCTCCTCCATCTCTCTCCCTCCTCCCTGGAAAAGACTCAGCTGGCCTCCCGTGACACAAAAACAAGCCCGGTTGTCATGGCAACCCCCTGTAGTCCAGATGAAGTGATGCCAGTTTATTTTTAGATGTCTCCCATTCAAGACAATCAAGAACGGGTTAACATGTACACTTGCGCCAGAGTTTAGGAATCCAAGGCTCAAGCGCTTGTTCTCATCGGGCCTCAGTACAAGAATGTGTAAAGGATGCAGAATTATCAATATCAACCATTAATGATTATACCTCATATCCCTTTTAGGTGTTATCAATGTCGTCCAGCTTGTTTTTTTGCTTTTCTACTTGTCCAATTAGGACCTTCAGCCGTGCCAGAAAATGATCAGAAAAGTCTTTCTATTCATTAAATAACAAAAACTAATGATTACTTCTCAATTTGTCCCTCTATGTTGCATTTTAGCCCTGCAAAGGATTTGTTCTTCAAATTACTGCCAAACATATTTTTTTTTTTTCCAGGTTGTTATTTTGGTTCACACATTTCTGAAAAACAACTTTGTGATTTTGTTCAATGAATGTCTTGTTTTATTTCACTCAAATAGTTGACTGTCATTGCAGTCAAAGCTCGGATGCATTTGTGAAATGCACCATGGGCTAATTGACCGTTCATTTTACAGCTGTTTAAAAAGATGAATACACTACCCAAATAAAAATGAAAACTAGCCGTTATAGTTGCATACATCACATTATTACTTATACAACCAGGCTGTTGAAACTGTGATGAAGCTCAGATTGTTGAGGAAATTAGTTATACAGGCTGAACTTCAGATATGAATCACAGCTGAACAGATGGATCCACGGCAGAGGTCCGTTCAGCCTTCAGGAAAGGCCAATGTGGAGTATTTGAAACTATTCGTTTTATGTCTGCAGATGGTGTATCTCTACCTCTGTCACACATAAACATAGTTGATAGTATTTGGACCCATTTGTATGTTAATATCTAGGGTGTCATTCTTCTAGAGCCCGTTGCTTACAGCTTAGTGCTACTTTTGAGGATCTGGCATTTGGCCGTTCCACCCGTGCCCACTCTGATAACAGCTTGTGCCAACACACAGGAACCCCTCTGGCATTTGGCTGGCATTGTCCGATCAGTCCCTTGAACAAGCCCTGTCCCTGTTCCAAGTTTACATAATTTGTCACAGTCCACTCAGCTGTCCACCTAATGGGCGACCAGCTTGCCAGGTGAAACAGCTTTTATTCTTGGCTGTTTGACCCGATCGGCTCTGGCTCTGAGGGCCTGACCTTGTCTCGGTCATCATTCAAATGAATACTTTCATTTGCTCCAGTGTGATTCATTGTAGATCATTATTCATTCTAACTGATTCTGTTATGATCCACATTAGAAGCGTGGTTTCATTTGGTCCCGACAGAAAAAAACCTCAACAGCTGTCGGATGGATTGATAGATACAGTCATCCATCTGCTTGTTATACTCACATGCTTTACTACGATGGTCAAAGTGGAACCTTTGTACTTTACACATTGTCAGCCATTCTTCATTCTTGCCATATATAAACCGTTACACATACCGTCATGTTGATTGCAAAGTTATTGCACAAGTCGAGTTAATGGTTGTTGGTCTCGATGTCAGCCCTGTGGTTGACTGACGACCAGTCCTGCGTGTACCTCGTCTCTCTTGCTCGACGTTAGCTGGGATTGACTCCGGCCCCCCGCGACCCTCTAAGGATAAGCGGTGTAGAAGGTGACTGCATACATGCATGTACATGCACGACAAGTGCGACTTCGCCGGTCATCAAGAGAGTGATCAGCAGAAAGAGATGGTAAATAATCATTGTTATTAGACTGGAGCCACTGGGGATACCAATTATACCAGGACACCAAAAGGCTATTATGAGCCAAGCATTAAATTGTCACTTTGGGTTATGCAAATGTGATCCGCATTAGCATGGAGTTTGCATTCATGCACAGCTTAGCATGAATGCACACAAAGTATAAGCAGGACAAATAATAAGAAATCATCTTACCAGTGGTGTTTTGCTTGGATGCGGTTGCATGGCTGCAGTCTATTTTTGGGCTTGTAATGACATCATTTTAAATCATTTTGCTGCGTTAAATGATGGATGTTACTGGGAAGCACAATAGCTGTGCCAAAGTAGATGATTTATAAACTTCTGTTTGGCCCCCAAATCACCTTGTCAGGTCTTATTTCAATAGTACTTTAATGACCAGCTTAAAGTATGTTTTCCTATACTCTAGTATACCTAATACTCTGATTAGAGACACGGTACTATACACACACTCAGACAAATCAAAATATGTTATATTAATGGAGAGGACTTCGCATAATGGCCAAAGCTGACCTTAAGACATCCAAAGGAAATGCTTGCTTTTCGTGCAGTGATGACATTAAAATCATACAACAATTTCACTTGTTACAATATGCAGCAACATGATGTCACATTAATGCACTACTTGTAATTGTACAACATACTAAAACACAGGGCCGCTATTGGTATTACAGTATTTGTTATTTGATTTCATAGCCATGAATTTGCTGTGTGCGTCTACACAATCAGCGGCTTTACCACCCCAGAACAATACTCCACACTTCATGAATGTGTACCTTTACAAATTTGGAACGAGAAAATTCCATTTTTAAAAAACATTTTGTTGAGCTAAATATTTAAAATGACTGTGGGGAAATCTGGTCTCTCTCTCGCTTTTTTATTTCTGAAAGTCAATGAACTGGAATTATCCATTACTTTCAGTTGAACGGCAGAAACAAAATTGACTGAGCAGTATGTAGAGTGTTATATAACCAGCATACAACAAACACACCAACACTACAGCCGTATTCACCTGAATGAGCTCTACAAAGAGAAATATTCTCAACGCTGTTTTGTCTGCGTCGCAGCATCACTACTCATATTCGTGGCCCCTGGATTTGTCCCTGTCGTGGTCTTTTGTCATATCCGTTGCCACCCCCCCCTCCCCATAACGTTAAGGCACCGATTGTCAGCTCAGCACCCAGAGCTGCTGAGTGGCAGCTGCTCTTGAATCTGCCAACCACCTGAACCACCTGGTGTGTGCGAAGCCAAGAGCCTCCATCTGAACTGCTCATTGACGTTGGTATTCACAGTTGTACATACGAAAGCGCGCGCGCGCGCGTGTGTGTGTGTGTGTGTGTGTGTGTGTGTGCCGACAAACAACACATCTCCCTAAGAACAGTATGCAGATGAGTGTTGACACTGTCACCGGCTGAGGTATTGTTGTTTAAGTCACGAGGTTGCCAGGCAGTGTAAGTACACTGCGCAGCCCATTCCTCCCTGAAATCAGCTCCGCAAACTGAGCTGTGAAGGAGAACGAGAAGATTTGTTCTTCACAGACTTGAAAGTGCTGCTCAGCATACAAACAGAAGGTGTAAATCCCTGAGTGTGATGATGCTGTCAATATGAAAAATACTACCGATGTGTACTTGGTGTGCCAAAACAGATTAATTATTTATATATATATATATATAAAAAATCAATAATGTACATGACACCATGTTCAACATGATATCATCTTCAAATGGCGTGCAATCTGGTAGAAGTAATGCTGCTGAAGACCAATGAACTATTTTCATTAAAAAGACTCAAGTGACTGACAATTTTAATCTGTATTCAATGCTGCAAGGTTTGCTGAAAAATGAAATGTGCATGCATAACATTCACAATGCTCTGCGTTGTTCAATCTTAATGACTTAAAAATCATTAGTTTTAAGGAATGTCAAATGATTCAGTGTCCTGTAAACTTGACTTCAATTAATTATTATTATTTGGTCTTTAATGCAAAGCGTCTGCAAATTTCAATTGTTTATTCTATATTTTATTAAGAAGATGAATGACAATCACAACTGTGCATATTGGTAAATCAGATCAGAGCCCAATGTTAATCTGATAACAGCATTGGAAGCACTCCAGTGCACTATATGTATGAATATAGTGTAAATGAACATGTCTGGAGACCAAACTTTTGTCTTTTTTCTCTTTTCTTCAGATTAGCGGAGAGGAGGAGACGAGACGTTTCGAGGAAGGCAAAGCCCGTTACCAGCAAAGCAAAGCAAAGAGGAATGCAGATAGGCAGCCCCAGAAGTAACGCTGCTGTTCACCGGAGTAAAACGTCTGCTGCAACACTATCGACCCCACGCAGCCCCCACAGTATGAAGGAAATAAAAAACATCTCACCCCGTTCCGTTGTTGTAGAAACCTGTGACAATGTTTCCTGTGCACCAAACTGTCCACATATGGCTGTTTATGTATTTAAAATTATTAGTACATCTTTTAAATTGTGGTTATTTGAAATGGTGTATCAATGCAAACCAAATGACAGTCTGACTGTAGAAGTAAGAGAACTATTTTATTTTTGGAAGATTGGTATGTATGAAGACTTCTTGTTTGGTGTCACTGCAAAGCGATAGTTGGAAATGTGTCAATAATTGAGTGAATAATAATGAATAAAAGATCCAAGCGCGAGTCTGGGCCTCTCGCCTCATGTCCTTGCTAGTTTGATGATGAACTTGATGATGATGTCATTGTCTTGGGCATGCCTTGGCAGAGAGGACACACGCTATCCATCTTTTTAGCACAGTGGCTTTCACAGAGAAATCAGGGGAGCTGGGGGGCTTTGACTCAACTCGCATCCCTCCCACGCCCGCCCGCCCGCCCGTCCCCTTCCCTCCTCGCCGCACTCCTCTGGTAGTCTGTCACCATCTGGCTCCGGCGATCGCTCTGCCTTAACGTTCTCTGCTTTCCCAGTCCTGCTCACCGAGATATCTTCATCCATCTCCATTCTCTTGTTACGTCACTTTCTTCCTCCTCTCATTCACTCCATTTGTCCCTCTGTCTCCCCTGGTCTTCTCACTGTCTCACTCCCTTTTGTCTTGTGGTAGTTGATCTCCACATGCGATGTGAGGACTCGTAGAAAGAGATGTATTTGTATGAGTAGGTTTGTCTTTGCGTTTGCCTGCGCGTGTGTTCATAGAAAGATCAGAAAGGTGAATCTAGGTCAGCAGCGAGAAAAATCTATATTCGTCTGGCCAGTGATTATTAACCTGCCATAAATCTGTTTTTTTAAATTTGGCTATTTAATAAACAACTCTTTACTTCAGTAGGATTAACGGGGCTTCAAGCATTTACAAACAGATGGCAAAAACTAATTTGAGATCAAACCTAAAGTTACATTTCAAAGATTAAAGCCCAATGCGTGACCTCTATTGAGGACAGAGGGCAGCACAGGTCTGAACCTCAGCAAAAGGCCTTGGTTCGGACCTTTGTTCTTCCTCGTACGGTTGTCTTACATGGACAGAAACGGATTTGTCATTGGCTCTTGAATAATTCCTCAGGCGCAGTATGTGTGCTTTATATTTCCTCCATGAAACGGAAGTTAGGCTCCGGCTGCACCAGGGGAATGTATCTATTTTTAACCCCAGTGAAGTCGAGGCATGTCGTGGTAGAAGGAGAGCACAGGGAAGGACAGGAAGGAAAACATGATCCAGGAAGACGGTATCCATCTCAGATGGCGAGACAAGAAGAAATATGAGGTATAGAAAATTCTGTGTTCCAGAATGCCCCCATCCAGAGAACATCTAATTTCCCGTCATTTACAACAAAATTCAATACTGTCTTTGGCTGTTACAGCTTGCAGCAGCTGGCTTTGAAACACAGACCATAGGAAAGGAGAGGAACACGCTATGGTAACCATGGTTACTCGTGTGAAAGAACAGACTTGAAATAGAAGCGACGACATTATCAGATATGAATGTTTCGCTTCCAGGTAAATCAGCTGTAAATAATTAATGTATCATGTGTGCTTGCTGCTAATGAACTGCATGTATTACGCACTGTGCATCAGCTGCATGTCCAACTGATGTGTCCCCATCAGAGAATAATCAGAGAACTAAGGCAAAAAGCTGATCTGGTGTTTCCTCTCATGTCTTGGATGTCTACACTGGGATGTTCTGCATCCCAGTGTAGACAAACTGACGAGCTACCTAGAAGACGAACGGCCCTCTAGTTGCCGGAAGAAAACCATTTAGGAAGGAAGGATACACAATGAAGCGTTGCATTTTCTCCTCCTCCGCTTGGGAACGTCTCCATCGTCAGTCATTTTCTGACAGCAGGGGCTCTACTTTCACTCGCGAGACGAGACACAGAAACCCGAACTGCGCAAGGTGAACCTCGGGGTCACCGGTGAAAATAAGTCTGTCAATACTGCTTCTGTTGGCAGTAGTTGCAGATTCTCAAAGACGTCAGCTTCACACAGTAAACGCTTAAACAACTCAATGTTTTTTTTTGTGCTTGCTGGAACACCTTCACAAAGCCGAGACACAAGTCCTACATGCAGCCTTCCTCCGTTACCTGGGCTTGGAGCCAGAAGGGCTTCCTTGCATGGGAGGAGGTGATGGGCCGTACTTTATCTGGTCTGGAACCTCCGTTTTGATCTTATTGAGCTTTGAGCTTATTCGGCCACATCTACATACGACGCACACAAAATCTTCCTGCTAAGGAGGTGGAAAGGTACACCAGACATTAAAAAGTAGAGCGTGAGGGAACGCATCAACAGGATAGTCGTAGAGAAGTATTAAAGCGCTGCTCTGTGTGTGTGTGTGTGTGTGTGTGTGATGGCGTAGCAGCCCAGTGCCAGCGCAGCCAGTGGGCGGGAATGCCTTCTGTCACTTTTTACTTCCAGGTCACCCGGCATCGCACAGGAGAGGTTAGCAACGGGCAGTCTGGTTCTCTTAGCAAACTCCCCTGTCATGTGCGCTTTCAATGATAGACTTAAGTCTAAAATACAAAGATTAAGCATTCGCAACAGGCTACACCTGTCTTTATCCACACGCCATTATAAATTTATACACCCATATCTATACATAGGGCGGCACGGTGGCGTGGTGGTTAGCACTGTTGCCTCACAGCAAGAAGGTCCTGGGTTCGATTCCACCCAGTGGCCTTTCTGTGTGGAGTCTGCATGTTCCCCCCGTGTCTGCGTGGGTTCTCTCCGGGTTCTCCAGCTTCCTCCCACAGTCCAAAGACATGCTCTGGGGATCAGGTTAATTGGGGACTTTAAATTGCCCGTAGGTGTGTGGATGTGATTGTGAATGGTTGTGTGTCTCTGTGTAGCCCTGCGATTGGCTGGCGACCAATCCAGGATGTACCCTGTCTATCGCCCGAAGTTGGCTGGGATGGACTCCAGCCCCCCCCGCGACCCTGTGTGCAGGATAAGCGGTTTGACGATGGATGGATGGATGGATATCTATACATATCGATCTGCTCATTTTACACAAGCTTCATCAGGAATTATTTCCTTGAGATATGCTATATGTATTCTCTGCAGGCCATACATGGAGGACAGAATTAACAGATGTCTATTGTGATGCTTTAAATGGATTATTAATTCATGCACCCTCAGACTTATTTGCAAAAGCAGCCCTGACTCACTTCACCCAGACAACTTAATAATAGGCATCTTCGAGATCAAGGTAGATTAGGAACTGCTCATGCAGAGACAGACAATGCTGCTCACTGAAATCTTTGTTCAGATATTGTTTGTGATGAATGAATATGCGTAAAAATAATAAAAATATAAATCAGATATCATGAAGAAAGAACTTTGAATCTATTATCTCTCTCACTCACACAGAGTCAACTTCCATTCTTTCATCAGGCCTCTTCCCTCCAGATTGTGTTGCATCAAAAGAGCTGTTTCCTATAGAAGTATAAAAAATGAGGGAAGCCAGTGCAACAGTGTCAAATTGGGTACCTATCATCAATGAGCGATGTTAACCTGTTGGGGTGCAAAGGTTGAAACTATTGAATAATCTGTTAAAAGTGTTCCCTCTGCCCCTATCTAATAGTGAGAAAGATCTAGGAAGACAAGCAGCAGTTTAAAAGTGATCTCCAGTTCATCCAAACTAATTATTTTGAAGTGAAACTTAAAGTCTGTCTGTTTTACAACTGCAGACAAAACAAACTATTAGCAGATAAGGGCCAGAGGTCAGTGTTATGTTGGATTTCATAGCGTTAAATGTTCTTCTTGTTTTCACACTTGGGGGTTAGCCAAGTATAAACAAACTCGTCTTTTTAACCGAGATTGTGCTTTCCGTCCATGCTGAAAGCAAAAAGATATTTTTGAAAACAAGACTTGGCTACGGCTTAATTTTAAACCATTGGTAAAGATGCTTGATTGTTTATGTGAAAGAAATAGATTAAATAACTCAATGTTACTGTACGGCAAAAGACCAACTTATTTGAAGCGTAGCGTATTTGAAGTCCCAAACAGAAAACAAGAAATAATGGAAATCCAAAAAGATTATAGAAAGATTGAAGGGTTTTAATTGACCTGCAGTGACATGAAACAAGCTACCAAGTCATCCTGCATCTTTCCCAGAGGTACAACTCGCTCTGTGGGAATGTACAACCCATGTGGACAAACAAATCTAAAGACAGACATTGCATTCCACGGTCTGATTTAAATATCAAAACACATGTAAACCATGAGGCTGCAGAGAAGCTTTTGGTCAGTATTGGACATTTACTAGCCGACCTCAGTATCGGTAGGAGCATTACTCTTTAAGGCTGTTCACTGCAGCGATGTGGTAAGTAGGCTTATCGGTTTTAATGAATGGGGAGCGGTGGGAGCGTGCACAGCTCATCAAACCATCCAGCAAATGAATGAGAAATAATCCTGATAATAGGAGGCGGAAACCGAAGGCACCAGGGACCTCTGTGCATCCCTGCTCTCACGGAGGCCTATTTGTCTTCTCACTGGGCACGACGTGGGCCCAGAGGGAGCAAAGCCACGCACACAGAACCACCCAGGAAAGGAGTCTTATGTAACAAGTCGTTTAATGTCAATGAAAAGGGCTCATAGCATGAATAGCATGAGAAAATAACGTAGATTCATTGATGGGAGAGGCTCAATGCAGATGTTTGGACGGGGAAAATAAAAAGATACTATGTTCATTGATAGTTGCAAAAGGGCCCCACGGCCATAACTTGGTGAAAGGAAGCTTAATGAAATCAGTTTATTTAATCAACTCATTGCAATGAGACCTTTTAATGAGAAATAAGCCGTTATGCTCGTTGAAAATGTTGCAGCGGTTTCTATTCAGAGCCCAGCGCGCGACACACGAGCAGCTCTCGCTCCGTCAACATGACGACCTCTTTTCCCATGAATTATTTCTCATTGCGGTTCACTCCCACGGCCACGGAGCGTCTGACCCGCGCACGAGCGTGTGCTGTCGGGAGCGCGCAGCAATCATACCTCATCCGTCGCGCGTCTCGGTGGTGTCGGATAAATAGGAGACGGTCGGTCTTTTGACTAAAAAAAACAACAACAACGACAACAACAACCCCACTCGGGCATCGTGCTTCGTTGTGAGAAGAAGACAACCATTTTTTTTTCTTCCGAAAGTCCTGCACGTTTTTCTCCCCTCGCCTGTGAGCGGATGCCGGAGGAGTACAGCTGCGAGGCTTCCGGGCTCGTCCCTCATCTCGCGGGTCATTCCTCCAAGTTGACGCTGCTGACGCGGTTCGGTTCGGGGATGTAAACGACCCTCCGAGGGACCCGAGCTGAGTGCACCGATTCCACGGAAGCATGAGCCCCGCGGGAGCCCGGAGCGTCTCGTGAAAGGTAAGAAAAGGGTCGCGCAGCTGATTACAATCACGCCGGAACCTACCGGTGCTCATTGTGACGCGCGCGTGTGCGTGTGTGTGTGTTCGCGCGCGCGCGTGCGTGGGGGGGGGGGGGGCTAAGAAAACGACGGGGCTTCATCCAAACAGGTGGTGTCCTGCGGTTCAAACTGATGGGGGAGTAAATGAACACATTTGAATGAAGACGTGAGATTCCCGCGTGCCCGCCGTGCGCGTCTGACCTATTTACAATTAATTTACATGCGAGACAAATGCGGACGAGGAAGTGACCTGACTGACATTAAATTAAAAACATGACCCGGAGGCAGATTTACACTCATCTAACTGAGGGGGGAGTTTTGGAGCTAATTACGCAGGTGTGTGGGATTACTTGAAATGACCAAAATAAGACACCTAAATGAACGTGGCGATAGAGGAGAGGAATCACTCTGATTTGAACCAATAAGCAGCTTACTTGCAGTTTATGACATAATATCGAGGTGTTCCTGCAACCAGGAACATGTGAACTGATGCAGGCAGTTTCTACAATGTGCCGGGCACAATCTTACTACACTATTATACACTGTGTCTTTTGTTTTTCTTTCTAGTATTGTAAGATATATATTTGCACCGTTCACCCCCTGTGCCCTGCGTGTGATACGCCGTTAGACAAGCTTAGACGTGAAGCTGCTAAAAAGAAATGAAATACGTTTTGTGAATCCACCTTCGACAACCGAGAGGCACGATTTGGACACCTGCTCGAGTTCCAATGCAACCTGTATGTTTTGAATGGAAGTAAAGGGCACAGTCACATGTGTCCCACCATTACAACATGGTGTGATGGTGATGATGAACTTATTTACACGTTCAGTACCAACCACTCTGCTTTTATTTTTTGCAGCATGCATATGGAACCCTACATTTGTATGATCTACATTTTAACAAATTTTGATCTCCTGAATTAACGATACAAGAGAATGAGCATGCTTCTATTCACTGGATAGAGTTTGTTCCCCCATCGGAGCGGACAGTGTAGGTAGAAGTTACAGGTCAGAATGTGTCCGTGCGAGTCACTCATCACATTGGCTGCTCAGACAAAGTGCTGTAGCCGACATGTGACAGTTGCTGCTACACCACAAAGCCTCACAACCGATCATCGCGGGGCATATGTGACATTTTGTTTGTTACACATTTTGGCTCTGTCATTTTGTGACCGTGTTATCCCGTGTGAAGACTATTCTACGGTTCCCTCACACACACACGACGCATTCAGTTCTCCTTTCGTTATCCAGCATCATAGAAAACATTTGGTCTCCATGACAATAGGAAAAGTCTCCTCTCTCACCAGTTTGACTATTATTAATAATATATATATATATATATATATATATGTCTCTACAGTATGTCCTTATCCTACCATATACTATAATTCCAGGCCTGTATTGGATAGAAACTCTAAACCCTCCATATGGCGCCCAGTGACCCCGCTACAGTCCTAGCTGCCAGTAGCTTAACATAAACAGAGAGAGAGCCTCTAGGGTTACAATCGTGATGGAAAATTCAACTACTTACTCTTGGCAGTCGGGAAAGAAAAGTGTTTACAACGTCCCTCAGTAACCTCAAACAGCATGCAGGACTCCTGACTCGTGACATTTTTTAATACCTTTTTTATCTTATCAATGGTTTGTGTGTAAATAGGCATCCAATTGACGCACCGTTCGGTGCTCGTGGAAAATTCAGTGCAGGAAGGGAATCATGGAAACTATGACTTATCACTGCTGTTTCCTAATGACTACACTCAGTATTTAAGATAATTATGTCAACCTCGGGTGCAATGGTAGTTTGTTATAAGCACTTTCTCACAGGCCAAACACAAATATAAATTCAGTTTGGAGGGATCTCTAATCGGCTGTAGTAAAACTGTTAGATGCCTTGACTATGATAGAAAATACCCCATTCAGCATGTCTTCATATTGACATCTCAATTTTACTGCACAGCAAAACCTAATTATAGCTTAGTTTCAGATTTCACATAAATATTAATCTCTTACTGTTGTGACCAGGTTGCTCGGAGCATAATGCTATTGTTATTATTTGATTGGTATTTAATCAGTGCTACTTAATCTAGTGCTTGTTAATGCGTTTGTCCATTGTGGACCGGTGTGAAGTGCTTGAAATGGGTGATTTAAGAAGTAAAAAAAGACCACAGACGAAACAGTAGGAGACTGTTTTGATCATGAGCCCATTGGCACAATGATCTGAGAGGCTGCTCGGCATTCAATTATTTGCCAGTTTGATGCATAATCTCCAGCAGGAGGATAGCGATTCAAGAAATAGTCTTTGCTTACGTCTCTTGTCAGCTGAGCACCTCTGGAGCTTATTATTTTCTGATGAGTGGAGCGGATGATGTTTAGAGTCTAAACGGAGCCGGTGTCTAAACTTTAGACACTCTGCCTACCTGCTGTTAGTAAAGGCTGTGATTAAACCGAAAGGGCATTTGCTCAACATGATGACGTTGTTGTTGTATTTCTCTACCTGAGAATGGCTGCTTGTGCATTTTGGTACCACATAAATATAAATGAATACTTTACAATGACAGCAGCTAAGCATAGTTACTCACCACAGGAAGAATATACAAATGTATGAAATGCACATTGTCATCTCTCACTAAAATTCTTCCTAAAAATGAACTTCTTACCAACAAGAACTGTGCTTTTAGGCAATGGGTTATGTGTGTGTGTATGTATGTGTATAATATATATATATATATCTCTGATACTGAGAACTAAACCATGGCCTTGCTTTACTCCCAATAGGTTGGAGCAGACGTTGATGGATTTGAGCAGCTTTTATTTTTTCAGCCTGCAAGCGATTGCCATTCAGGCCCTCAGCAGATGTAGCTGTAGTCGTGTTTCAAAGGGGCTCGTTTGGTCTGTATTTGTGCGAGTGGATTCCTGCATTGCAGTTAATTAAACATTGTTGATGTTAGATGAGAGGGAACCACACCGACTAGACTCCAAAGTACTTCCTCCCATTTATCGTAGCAATTTATAAGCAAGAAGCTGAGAAGATAAATTCATGGCAAGTGAAATGGGACTTTCTTTTGCGAACTCCTTTTCCTTGCCTTGAAAGGTGGGGAGGATGATTCATAGAGACCTAAGACAAATAAAACACAGTGCTTGATCCAACAGTGCTTGATCCAACTGCACTTGTTCTAGACTAGGGAGGTCTTTTTTGAAACTTCAAAATTACAACACATACAAAATGAGTACAATGAAAAAGGTGCAATATGCTTTCAATTAAGAATTCCTGTCCAAAACAGAATCAAGAAGAGATGTTTTCAATGCATCTGTGGTGTGGAATTAAACAGTAACGGTGGGTGTTAATGACAGCTGAGGGCTTTGCTTTAAATGTTGCTGCCACCGTTTTGGGATGGCATTGTCTTTTTTCTTGTCGTAAACAATGGTCCAGCGTATCCTAGGAGATACGATAAGAAAGCATCGAAGCACCAATCTTTAGCATTTAGATGATCAACCAGCTCTTATAACGGCTGTCACTTTAAATGCTTCGGGGTCTTTTCACCGAGTTACTAACCTTGCTAAGCTAAAAAGACCATTTGACTGCAGTCTTGTTTCCTATTTTTAAGTAGAATAGTTTTCTATTAGAATGTTCCAAATTGAGTGAAATGAGCGGCAAGAAGTGGCGACCACCAGAACTCGTCAAATTCTCTAAATGTTGAGGAAAGGTCTTAATGCTTCCTTTTTACATCATTTCGCATTGGATTCAATGTAACGTCCTTTATTGTGTCCTGGTGTGAGTGCTGTCGGGTTCTTTTAACGCAGAGGTTGTCTCAACCCGAGTTGCTTTTCATATTTTTACTTGACCATGATGTTTTACATTGAAGTCGAGGAGACAGTACTTAGGAATAGACCTCGGACGCTAAATAATTTTTCAATTATTCCGCTCAATAATGTTGCCGTGTGACAATGACATTACTATGTTTAGACTCGCTCAAAAGGATGGGAAATGTAGGGACATTTATGTGGCGTTATCTTGTCATGACACCTTTTTGGAAACCCTCACGATTTTTATTTAGGGAAGAACACAGAATGAGTGGTACACCCGCACGGCCTTACCAGTTGGACCTTCTGCACTTTCATATTCATATTCATAAGGGACACATGCGGATAGATCAAAGTTTATTTTCTGCTGAAGGTTTTCTTTAGGATTGAAGCAGTTGCTATGCAACGTGTACAGTACAGGAGTCCGTGTGGTTCTATTAAAGCACAGTGTCTTAATGTGATGGTGGTTTACCAATGATGATCTAATGATGGGATGTTAGTCAGATATTGGCGATCCAATAAGCCCTTCTCTCTGCTTCAAAGTTCTGCTTTTCACTACTGGATGCTTTTTAAAGTTTAGTGCTCTACTGGGCTTCCTCCTTTGGGCATAGAGCTCAGTGTAAACACACTGAAACAGGACCAGCAGGGATCTTTTATAGATCTTAATTAAGCATACATTTCAATAAGGATCATTTTGAAAGCATTTTTTTCCCTTTTCATGACGTCTCCTGGACTCTTAATTGATAGTTGGATAATGAGCGGTCACTGGGGAGGAGTAAGCTTGATGGGGTTTTGTCCTCTGAGGGCCATTGTAACCTGTCATGGGGCGATGGAGAGCTCTTCACCTGCACTTTGTGGGTGACCCCTTGCTCCACGAGGACGAGACAAGTGTGCCTAAACTGGCTGCCGGCCGAAGCCAGTTGTAGACCTATACTGATAAAACAAATTAGTCAATGGATTAGAAATAACCTTTTTACAAGACAACACAGCTAAGTGTTAAAATTCTTATAATATAACACTTTGTTGTCATTTTCACTACTAAACAGCGGATGAATTCTCTTATTTATTCTTCTATACCACTCTGTCTAGGAGGCCATGTCTGAATTCCTAGTCAGGCTAGCAGGTTAACAAGGTAGAGGCAGTAAGGTCATTCTGCTAGCCGGCCTGCGTCCCCCTCTGATTACATAGATGAAATGATTTTGGCAGGTGAAAAATATGATTAAATCAAACACACTTTAGATGTTTTGTAATTGCGTTTAAGTGGGACAGGCAAATGAGCAACTGTCCCTGACATTTCCTGTATAAGGCACTTAACCCTTAAAAGCTGTGGAGGGCTGCACTTGTGTTGCGAAGCTCCTGAGTGTTTGTAAATTTCCAGCAGGGTGCTGCTGCTGCTGCTGCTGCTGCAAAAAAAGAAAGCTTACCTGCTGACTCGACTTTCAAAGTAAAGCACCTGTCATCAGTTGGCATCAGAGATTTAATATTTAACACTCGGGCTGTGCTCAGGGGGAAAGCTATGCAGCCTCCTAAAACGGAGTACATTACTCTCTTACAGCTCTGGGGATGAGTCGCTGGTCGGGCAATATACTCCGTGCGTCCCACCTGTCAACGGGGAGTTTATGAAAGAGGTCCACTCCAGCTCCCACCGATTCTACTGAGAGACGAGGGTCAGCCTTACACATCTACACCAGCTTTCACATTGCCCTAAGGGAGCGTGGTTAGAGCTTTGGAAGTGATCGTGTCATTGGAACATGTAATTATTGGCCTTCATTCAGACACGCTGTCATTTATTTTGGCCTTTTTTTTTAATAGTATGCTTCTTTAGCCCAAATCTGCGATCATTATCAGCAATGTTGAGTAATCTGCATTGAAACAAACATAGCATATCCTTTTTATATTTCTGATTGTCATAGTTATTAAGACACAAGCAGTGTTTGGTGAAAGACATCTCTGGAATCAGTTTCCTTAAGTTGAAATATCAATTATTTACCGTACCTTTTCGATTAAGTGAGTATTCACATCTGGATGTCAATAGTTATGTAGATGATGGAGTCCTTCAAAATGAGTAACTATTAGAATACCGTTAAACCTTCCATGACACATTTTTGTTTCCTAATCTTTATCAATGAATCCTTGCCACTCTGATAACACTCAACATCTCCATGTAGGAGAGAAGAGGCCTCTACAGCCTACTTGTAGTAGTCCGTGTGTATTTCTCCCATGTAGGGGACAGAATTGACTCAGAGGCCCAGGGGAAAACATAAACTAGTGCTACAACTACTATAATACTGCTACTAAACACACACCTACAGTACCCCTGCAGCATCACTACCATCTCTACTAATACAACTACCTACTAAAAGTGTATAGTAGTTCTGAGGCAGCGTGCAATATGTTGTGGTGTTGATTCAGAGTAGATTAGTTTAACCGTATTTCCATCCAGAAGTCATGACTAACCCTTCTTTTCATGGCAGTAAGCGTAAACCGTAAACAGAGCTCAGAATATGCTAAACATAGAAAATACCTTTAACCTTTCATTGAACCAAACGATAAAAGGTCAAACAACAGTGCGCTTGTGCCAGATATTCTCTGTGTTACCGATGAGCAGTGAGCAGACCGAGTAGTCTGAACAAAATCTTTTTTCGTTGTGTCTGCCATTTGCTCTTTCACACAAAGCGGCGTTGATCAAGGATTGTGTTGATTCCAAGTCAGTATCCTAAGAATATTCCTAATGGATGATTCCTTGATGTATATTAGTCTGTGTTGCTACTTTTTCCTTTTCTTCCCACTTGTCTCATTTTTTTCCATCCGACTTACAGGCAGTGAGCTGTGAGGCAGCTAGCGACTCACTTCGTGACCTTTTTAAAACCTGAAAATGCATTGATGTGGAAATAAAAGTCAGACAAATATGTTTTGATCTGTTCTGCATCACCAGGAAGTAATATTTCATTTGATTTTGAATTTTTTTTTGGTTTGTTTACAATTGCACTTGGATATCGCATGCAACTCGCAGGCTAAAGTATATGTGATCTATGAGTTGACGTCTTGTTTGGGTTTCAGGGGATCCCAACGTACTCGATCACTTTTTAACTAGAGCTACATGGGATGCTCTCACGTTGTAGGGTGTTATTGGACGTTATGAACATGACCGAATAGGAGGAAAAAGGTAATGTGATTTTGGCATTAATCCACTTCTAACAAATCGTGCCACATTCTTATCCTTTATACAGATGTGGGACATTTTAAGTGTTACTTGTTCTTCTTCCTTGGTGGAAATTGTTTTGTCACTAGTTGCTTTGGTTTGAATAAGTAGTTCATTTTCATATCGGCAGCATATCTCATTATGTGGTTGCTCGATGACCTCCTGACCTGTGTGGCTCCAGCGTGTAGATGCTGCATCACAACCTCCTGCTGACTCACGTTCAGAGTGCCGTTGGGGGGATAGTGAGAGAAGAGGATTGGGTCAGCGGCAGTCACCGCGCCGTGGTGATGATGTGGCTTTTGTCATTTCCAGTGTCCCCTCTTCGGGGTCTTGCCCAAAGCACATCAGTGTTCGGACACGCCAAAAGACAGGAAATGGATGTGACAACATGCACCCGCAGAGCCAAGCAGTTTTCCCTCCACAGTGTGGGCATCAAAGTGTCCCTCTGCTGATTTATTTGGCTGAAGTTGTATGCGTTATATGCTGGAAGTGGCCCCAAAAACAGACCAGAACTGTAGCAAGCTTTTTTTTGTCTCTTTTGATGACTTCTTGTAACAGGATTTCATACAATTCAAACATCTTGCACTGTAATGAAGCACCTTACGTCAACACAACAACCTGACTGAAGACTTGAATCACTTCTCTGAAAGCAACAACAACAACTGCAAAAAGACAATCTTATGTGCCACAATAGTTATTTTCATTATGGATTGATACACGATGCAGCAGATCTTCACAGCTAATTAGGTAATACAATGGGAGTCTTTTTGGTTAATGAATGACAGTTAATTCTAATCTTTACGTCCTCTGTCACTGACCCGCCCCTCTCTCTCTCTCCCTCTCCATCTTCAGGCTCGTAAGGGAACTGCCCCGGCTCTTTCATCCTTCCCCTCTAGTATTCTGCTGCGGCGCACCTCCTCCACGTCCCCTCCCTGCTGAGGCCCTCCCATGGAGAGTGCACGCCCCCCCAGATAGGATGCCTGCATTGCCCGACGTTCTGAATCCCCTCCTGCCCGTCACCACCTCCTCCTTCTCCTCTTGTGTACCTGCTCTCGCCAACAGTTCCCTGTGGACCGCCGGGTTCCGCCCCGCCCCACTCCACCCCGCTCCAACATGGTGGATGAGGTAACCACCATGAAGGATGACGTCATCAATGCCAACACGCTGGCGTGGCTGGTCTGCTCGGGTGTGTCCATCCTGGCCAACACCTGGAGCATCCTTAGCGTCAGTGCCAAGCAGAAGAAGTGGAAGCCGCTTGAATTCCTCATCTGCACGCTTGCGGGCACGCACATCCTCAACATGGCCATCCCCATCACCATGTACTGCGTCATAACACTGCGCCGCCAGCACTCCAATTACGAGTGGAACGAGGGTCTGTGCAAGGTGTTTGTCTCCACCTTCTACACCCTCACGCTGGTCACCTGCTTCTCCGTCACGTCCCTCTCTTATCACCGCATGTGGATGGTACGCTGGCCTGTGAACTACAGGTAAGAAACTTGACTCTGTGTTGTATTTATAGTCGTTCACATCAAGTTTTTAGTTTGTAACATTTCACCCAAATGACAAATTCACGTCTCATGGTATCAAAACAGGTATCATTAGAAATAATTTGCCTATTATCAGGTCTTTGGGTATTTCTTTCTAAAGGTCACTCCAATAAACTACAGGTAAATAAAGTTTGCGGCTGTCTCTGGCTATTCCTAAAACATTTACACAGTGTACATCCTTTTTTTTAGCATTCAGCTGTCAAAATAGTTGCCATGTGAAAGGAAGGAAAGTGATAAAATAAGTTTGATTTGTAATTGAAGGGGGGGGGCAACTGCAGCCAAATGTGTCAGCCCAATGTATTGCACACATTAAAACACAGTGTTTGTTTTACAAAGCTGTTACAACCATGAAATGCATCTTTATATAGTCTAATCAGGTCACAGTACTTTGCCTAATTCTTTGCATGACCACATTCTGACATTTCAATCAGCAAATTGCGGACCACTGGCTTCCCTTCTGAGCAGATTCCTCAGATGTCTCCATTTTCTTCTCCAGTTTAGATTAGTGCCACTTGTCAGGCTGTTTACTTCTGTTTGAGTGAGGAATACTGCATTTGGTCGGTCCGTGAGGTAAAAAAGGTTGGGGACCTCTGGTCTAGACTGAGCATCTGCCAGCTCGAGCTTACAGCTTCATTTGGCCCATCGCAACTAGTGATATTACTAAGTAATAATGAAAAATGAAGATTCGCTTCACATTAACATTCGGCAGTAACACCATTTTGATCCTGCTAGATTCTCGAGGCATCAGCTGTTCACATGTAATCGGATGTTCTGAACAACATAGCTGCTTCCTTGGAAACAAGATTTTAATGCTATTTTTGTATTCAGCGATGCACATGCTGCTTCAAGATAACCTGCTCGTTAAGGAAATTTAAACAAAAATGACACTTTTCAATAGAACTAGATACTGTACATGTCATTTTAGCTTTACAAACCAGGAGATTGTTACATGATGTCATGTCCTCTTGACATTGTGTCTTCAGTGATATTAGGTTTGCACAATACCAACCAACAGGCTACGATATGAGTGGTACATGTGGTATGTGGTACATGTGGTGAAGATGAGTATTCTGTTACCCCACGCTTCCTCTCCTGCTGCAAAACAAAGAGTGATTTGACTTCCTGTCGCATGCTCTGATTGGCCGACAGATGCACAGCATATCCGCCTAGTCAGCTAATACTTTTTTCAGATAAGCAGATGTTGACATATGATATGCAAACTTCATTTTTAAATCTTTGGTTAATCTTCCCATAAATATTTCTTGTGCAGCTGTCATCATTGGCTGATACCGACACAGAGATATCATGCTTTGCTCAAACGCTTTTATCTTCGCCATCAGTTCTCTCACTCATCCGACTATATTCTCCCTCATCTCCGGCCTGGAAGCATTGCGTTTCCTCTCAGAAGCTCCTCTTCTTGTTTTCAAGTCACTCTTAACAATGATATGGTGGAGTGATAGCTCAGGCGAGGCACCATGTAATTGCTGTTCATCTTTCATTTAAACCCCTTCACGTTTGCCCTGCTGAGGTAGCATGGCTGCCTTGTCTCTGACATTAACACACACCGAAGGCCTGAATTATGCATTCCAACCTTGTACTTCGGCAGCTGCGCTCATCATCCTGCGCTCACTGTCTCTTTGGAGCGTTTCCCCTTCACAATGCTTTCTCTCTGGAAATAGATTCAAGCAGCTTGGTGACGTAACGTTGCCGTCATATGCACCCCGGGCACATTCAGGAAAGGCTAGCAAATTACTCACATTGACAACGAGACCTACTTGCCTTTGCACAGAGCCATAGTGCAAAGATAGAGGAAGCTGCTGCCCTCTTTGAGCCCTTTGTATTGTGACCGTGCGTGTGAGCTGATTCATGTAAGCTGATGCATTAGTAGTTTGTACACATTTGAACCATATTCAGTCATAGTGTTACTGTATTATTATAATATATATAACTTTTTTCTCTTGCAATCCTCACACTTGACAGAGTGTCTACTTTATTCCTTTCTGACACAAATAATGCAGGAAACATACATCTATGTAAAGGGCCTATGTGTAGCTACTTACTATAGCTATTTATTAAAGAGGCCAATGTATAATTGGTGGATGTAGAGGACAAAGTTGATTGTAATACACCGTATATACCTATTCCACACGCTAAAAAGGGATCGGCTGTATGAGCGTTTTAGCTGGAGCACCCACAATGCGGCCAAAAGTTCAGACACATTTTCTCATTCAATGGAAAACTGTGTTCAAACTTTTGACTGGTACTGTAATTAGGTGAATTATATATTATATATAGCTAAATATTCATTTTGGAAATAAGAACACAAGCAACTGCCTGTCATATTGTTAGGTGTATGTATGCTGTTGCCATACCGCGAGAGGACAACCGCATTGGGCAAATTGCTCCACTGTAACGATTACTTGAAGGGGAGAGGCAATGGAAATCCCTTCATACTGGAATAGACCTAGATGACGAGATATAAATCTTTAGCCATCAACGAAACATTGATTTCCTTCCATTGTCTCTGCGTGATGCATGGGAGGGACAGTGATTTTTCTGCTTTTATGTCCTAGGTGCAGATCGGCTACATTTATGGCGAGTTTTGCAAAGGTCTTTTCCGCTGACATAATATTTTTCTGCATAAAGTATAATTGTGCTGTCACACCGGATTAGTGGCATATTGAATTATTTAATGGAGCCTTTTGTGAGTTCAAAAAGGTTTGCGTTGGCGGTCCCTAATGTGCAATAAACTATTTGGTCTGAGCATCTGCAGCTGTTGAAGTTCCTATAAAAGTGACATCAAGTTTCAAATCCATCAGTATCAAAGTGAAGGTTAACTAGTTTTAAGACCTTTTATGGGCTACAAGACACACAGAAAAGAAGAAGAAAAACACCCTCCTCTTGAAGGGCAGTTTATGCTGAAATCTTGTTCTGCTTCCAGGTTGAGTAACACCAAGAAGCAGGCGGTGCACACGGTGATGGGCATCTGGATGGTCTCTTTCATCCTGTCAACACTTCCAGCTGTGGGGTGGCACGACACCATCGACCGCTTCTACACCTCCGACTGCCGGTTCATCGTGACGGAGATCGGTCTGGGCTTCGGCGTGTGCTTTCTGCTACTGATAGGGGGCAGTGTTGCGATGGGTGTGATCTGCATTGGCATTGCTCTCTTCCAGACCTTCACCATCCAGGCGGGCCACAAGGCGGACAAGAACAAGTTCAACGTCCCCACCATAGTGGTGGAGGACGCCCAGGGGAAGCGCAGATCCTCCATTGATGGATCGGAGCCTCTCAAGACGTCACTGCAAATCACCTACCTGATCAGTGGCATTGTCTTTATCTACGACTTCCTCACTGGCTTCCCCATACTGGTGAGTATACTGCCTGAACATGAGGCATGCAGGCAACGATGGAGCTGCTCTCAGATACACCAGGTTTAAGGTCAAATAAAATTCCAAATGGAGTTTTTTTTTATTTCACCACTAGCACAGTTAACCAACACTCTTGTGCCTATGTTGTCAAAAAAATATTTTATGTCTTCTGCATGGTTTAATTAAATGATTGATCACTTGCGCCACAATTTTATGACGTTTGTAACGCTATGGACTGGTCCCAGGTACAGGACGTTTAGGTTTACACAATGAAATTTGATGAAGTGATCATTAGTAATGTGGACTTCATGATTAAATCCTAGGAAGTTAAAAAAATTACATAACTTTACTATAATGTAGTCTTTAAAACCAGGAAAATAAAACCCATCAAGACAATATCTTCAAATGAAATCAATATATTGCCTAAAAAAGTTTACCTTTACATTACTTCCTCTGGGAACTGATCCTTCAATTGCATTATCAGTAGGTGAGGAAGTGCTGTTTCAATGTCCCTATTTGGTTTGCAAATTCCGCCCTCAGGGTCTCATTCATTTTTTTAAGTCAACTCGTTGGTTGTCTATTCAGACTTAAGAGTCTGGGGGAGACTGAAGGCGTATTGCTGATATGAAGCCATCATGCCTCCTTGAAAGCAAGCCAACAAGCTAGAGCCATGGTTTTCCACATGTAAGATGTCATAACTTCTAAATATCTGTTCAAATATAACGCATTGCATCAGTTCTGTTTTCTTTGTATTAACCCCGTTTCACAAACGTCGCGCAGAAGCGTCAGCACAAAGCACCACTATCTGCTCAAGCCTTTAAAGCACACATGAATATAACTAGTGCTTTGCCACAAATCACAGGAGAAACATGCGTTAGTGTTCTTAATCCTACGGTGGTTTGTCTGCTTCAGTTGCAGAAAGGACTGAAAGGAAACGTCACAAGGAACCAGCCAGAGGAATGTGACCATTTGAGTGATAATAACATTGCACAACAGCATCATACTGCTTCATATAAAATGGATTATTTCTTTGAATGTACTTTCCAATGCTGTTTGTTGTTCAAAAATAATCTAAAATGTCTTTTGTCCAATATGTTTGCTGCTTAACCAGCCTATGTATCATATTTTAACTTTATTTTAGTTTAACATCACGTCTGCCCTGATTTCAGGATCAGAGGGGAAACTACACTTGTGTTTCTTCATAAGCCTGAAACTGAAGTGGTGTATCACCTTATCTACAGCATGCTGTTATGTGTGTGCATAACAGAGAGGGTAGAATAGTGCTAATGAAAGATCCTATTTCCAGTGCAGTGACTGAAACAACAAAAGTTGATCTAGCCGTCTTTATGGCCTGGTGCAATGAGCTATTTAAATGCATGGAAAGCTGTAACACACTTACAAATGTATCGTGTTGCACAAAGAAGTGGTGACAAATGGGTATGTGCAACACAATAGAATGACCTAAAGGTGTGTGCTAAGAAGTAAAGAGTTGGTCTTCTTGGTTGTACTCTCAAGATGTTATAAAAACGTGAAAGCCCTGTGAGAATTATCTCTTTAAAAAAATAAAACATTGACCACCATATTTTTTCATCAAAGAAATGAGCCTTTGCATAAGACTTGTTTTATTTATATATATATATGTATGTATGTATGTATATATACGTATGTGTATGTGTATATATATATATATATATATATATATATATATATATATACATATACATATGTATGTATGTATGTATATATGTATATATATATATATGTATATATATATGTGTATATGTGTATGTATGTATGTATGTATATATATATATATATGTATATATATATATGTGTATATGTGTATGTATGTATGTATGTATTTATAAGTAGTTGCATAATCATATGTTGCAATAGTCTCAAGTTCATACATTTCCCTTTGTTCGATGTCCTGTTATTAATTTTATTAGCTGAAAGATTGTATATTATTATAATATACATTATACATACATTATTATATGAAATACACAAAGCTTCACAAAGCTTCTGATAAGAGCTCTACCTCTCATAAGCTCCCTAAAGAAAGTACTTACATTTTCCAGACTCATAATATAGACTCATTGGATTTCAGCATTTTACGATGCCAAAATAACTAATGTATTATTACTTGTATGCTTCCTGCCTAAAAGTGTGTGCAGACCTGTGTTAATCTACAGTGTTGTTTGTACTTTCCATTCTCTTTGCGCTACCTTTCGATTTAACTCAATAGACAAAGAAGATCAAAATCAATTTGAGACCACTTCAGGTCACGTACTGAAGGTGCTGCCGCGTCTAGTTCAACACACGATCAGCAGGGATAACATCTGAGATAATGAGTTTTATTTAATCTGATCATAGTTTTTCTTGGCGCGATGCATTGGATATCGACTTTAATCACCAGGTAAATGCTGTAATGCTCCACCGGGGTGGTTGACTAAAGTTCTATTGCTCGTTGTATAAAGGGGTTGTGCCCTAACCAAGGTCACTTTCATTACAAATGCAGAGAGGAAATTAAAGAATATGACCTGTAGTGACCTGAATGCATCTCAACCAGTTTCGGAAAAATCTTCATTCATTTTATTGATTAATTAATTGATGTTAATTGTTTGTTTGTTATCAGAAAACAGAGGGTGTCGCTAGAGCAAGTATCTCTTAATGGTTTTTATGGCAGGTCTACTTACTGGCCAACTACACACAAAGTCTGGATCAAATCTGGGTCTGGACAAAGTCTGTTCATCTCTTCATATTCTAAATGTGACTTTAGTTACTTCTTGCCCTTAATACGCCCCTTTACTTTGCTATGATGCTAATGGTTGTCTGAACTTCTGAGGGTGCTGTTTCAATCGAGCAACGTAGATGCCCAGTTACACAGTCGTACCCATTCAATGGAGTTGTGTTCTGGAACCCCAGTAAAGCCAATTTACACAGTAGTACATTGGTCAATGTATCAAATGATTAAATAAATACTTGATATAAGGGCTCTGAACATTGATGAATGGATTTGAATGGGACAATGATATTCAACACAGGGTTCCTAACCAAATCAGTATAACCCTCTGCTTACCCTGCCCAGGTTGTGAGCTTTGCCAGTCTGAAGTTTGACCGTTCCTACAACTGGATGGTGTTGTGTGTGGTGTGGTGCTCCATTGCTCAGTCCATCCTGTTGCCCATGTTCCTCTGGGCCTGTGACCGCTATCGGGCTGACATCCGCATGGTGTGGGAGAAGTGCGTCGCCATCATGTCCAACGACGACGTGGATGAGGGTAAGACACTGTTGGACGTCCTCCGCCTATCCTCCGCCTCCTTTTCCCCTCCTCTTTACCTGATGATGCGACTATGGACGATGAGTCCTAGTACATAAGACTAGTAACGGCTCCAAAGAGAAGAGTTTGTCCATTTAAAATGCTCTGAGGACAAATTTAAGACCATTTGCTTGAGTTTGTAAAAATCCAAGTGAGGGTCAAAGACGATGCATGAGTTTCTGAATTCACGGTCTTTGCACAGAGAGCTGGTTCTGTTGAAGTGTTGTAGACTGCCCTCGGCCATAGGAACCGCAGAGACCAATGTGATTTATCAACCTAAATGGTTTTGTCTCTTTGCCGAGGGTGTGATATAGTAGACAAGGGGGGTTAGCATTAATCTAAAATCTTTAGTCTATAGCCTAACGTTTGACATACAGGTCCACCTCTTTTCCTTAAGGTACAGTACGGTGTCACCTTTTTGATTTACTATCCTCAACAAAAACGTTTCAGATTATTGCAGAGAAAAGGTGCGTTTGTGAAGATTCTGAATTCTGATTCGGTCAAATTAAAGGATGTGACTTTATAAACTTAATAACATTTATGTGGTGCAAATATTTCCGTGGCCACTTTCAACACAGCACATACGCACATGTAGCTGTTGTTCATACAGAGTTGTGCTTTTTTACAGCTGAGAAATGGGTTGAGTGAGTTTATGAATGTTTTGTTTGATGTTACAAATCTGCACTACTCTGCTTGATGTTTATTAAGTATTAACCTATGCAATTACAGTATTTTACTGCCATCTATTGTCAGTCAGATCAATCCAGTTAAAGCAGAATCTAGAAATACTAATGCAAGACATTAATTGTTATGAAGATATTTAACAGTCTGTTAGTCTCATTGATCTGAATTGTTTTTAATGCAATGTTCCAAATATATTTTATACCTAGAAATTGCTGAAAATCTCAAAACTGGAATTGGTCGACCTAAAAATGTTTGTTTTAAGCAGTTGATTGGATGTATTCAACCCTTTTTGGGGGAAATATGGACACATGCTTGGGGCTGTCAAATTAATAATAATAACAAAATAAGAAGAAAAAGGGTCTGTTTTACCTAACTGTCAGTACTGTGGTCTGTACTTAATAGAAGTAGAGACTAATATCATTACAAAGTAGAAAATAAATATTGCTGTGAAACAAATGTGTTGAATGTACAGTTTTCCTCTAAAAAGCCATAGAGGACCATCAAATAAATGGTTCCCCGTTCATTTGTTAGGAACTGGAGTGAGCTGAGAAGCACTTTAATCTCATTATGATGGTCATATTTCCCTCATGTCCCAAAGGGCTACACCCAAGCATTTTTCTTAAAAAACAATTTCTACATATTGTTTTTGTTTTTAATTTATTGTTCTTTGTGTGATGCGGCCCCCTGTCGGATAATGTTGACTTAAAGAGCAAAATACAATGTTTTTAGGTGGAAATCTAAATTTAATTGATCTGACAAATGCATGAAAGAGACGCTCGTCTAAAACGGCATTGTACCAAGGAATCAGACGGTTGCACAAAATTTGGTCCCACAATTGGACCACATGGTAATAACATAACGGCTTGTACGCCAATGAACACATCTTAACAATTCAGGCAGACTAATGATCTTTTTTTCTATTAGCGCCCACTGTTTATACTCAACCCAATCTGAACGCCTTCTCTCCTGTTTTTCTAACCTTCCCAACCTGTTGATCCTCTCCCTCTCGACATTCTTCCTGATCTAACTGCTCATGTGTTAAAACAACACATAGTGTGTGATAATTAATACTGCCAGTTCTCTGCTTTTTTCTCCAGAGGGCTTGCCATGTATAACTCACCCCAGTTGTATGTATAAGGAGTGTTTCCTGTTCTTGCATGCCAAGCTGCCTGTGCAAAGAGCTACTCTCATCTTTCATCCCTTTGGCCAAACATTTACATCAAGATCAGCATTTTACACGCATCTCCAATTGATCTTTAATGAACATGAATGCAGTAATTGGGGAAAATAAACTTGGTCGATAGGTAGTTATGCACCCAGAAAACACTTTACATTGCCTAAGAGTAAGCCCTGTAGCTTTGAATATTCTTATTCTAGCTATTTTTTAAATAGTGCCCATGAAGGATTTAAAAAATGTTTCCTTACTAAACATTCAAATTGAATTATCGTTCATTTTTCTAGCAACGTCCTTTTTTACCGTACACCCTCATAGAGCATACCCATATAGGCTAAATCAAGAAAACCGAACAGTGAAGCTTGTCCCTCTTTTCTAATCGTCTGTCTGTCTTGTCTTGTGTATTGAGTTCGTTGCTCTCTAATCCTGACGTCCGTGCTTTTCTGCACTTTGCAGAAAACTGCCAAGATGGAGGAATTCATGCCGACTTAATATTTGACAGACCATATGACTATAGCTCGGCGCCTGAAATCGTGACGGTAGACCGTAATGCCAAGTATGAGTTCTCAACCTTAGAAAGGGGGGTTCCGCAAGGGTATCCATTGAGAGAACAACAGGAAGATAAAATGCAGTATTTGCAGGTATATTTTTTTTTCTATTAATTTTCTTCATTTATTTCACTTGATCAAATGAATTATTTAAAAATGACACTGTGCTTGCTAAAGTTTTCTGGAATCATCCAACATTTTGTAATGCTATCTCTACCAGATATGCCACAGATTTCTTTGTATATTTTACATGAATCACAAATACACTCTGGCTGACTAATGTTTGGTAAATATGACCATCAACAGTCCAATCAGCATGTTAGATATGCTTCCATAATCAAATAATCTGTCCTAAACATGGGCCTACATGCATTTAACTTTGTTTTTATTGTGCAAGGGTAAGAGCTTAGTAACTGACATACCTTCTACATTTCAGGAGTCTCAAGTTTTCATGAAAGCACTATAAACCTTTGCTCATGTTCTACCCCAAAAGCATTGTGTCCATTGGATCGGACATCCACCCCAGTCAGATGCAGGGCTGTGAAATGCTTCTTTTTCAGCCTGCATTCATGCCAAAACGTTCTTTCCCAACGTGCAGCCTTCTATGTCAATTCAACAAAAGTTTTTTCCCGGATTTTGTCCCAATACTTACACTGCAGGTTGCAATGCAGGCCCACAGTTTAAAGTTCATACAATTTAAAAAAAGAAATGATTTGATTAAAGCAGTGATGATGAAAATGTTGCTTGACTTGGCCTGGAAGGCTGTGGTGATGATAGTTAACTTTAGAATCAACTGATGCAACCCCTCACAATATTAACCTTTAACAAAGCATCTCCATACTGTGTCATCTTTGTCAGAAAACAACTTAACAAGGGCTTCGGTTTTGTCAGTGCAGCTGAAGCAATCTACAATAAATTGAAAAATTTGCTTATTGGAAAAAAAGATGTGTGTAAATATAGCTGGTATTAAACCACAGATGTCCAACATTTTAAATACCAATTTGAATTTTTACAAAGCCTTGAAACAGAGATGTATACAGTAGTATCATTTCATCAGACCAACTCATTACTCCGTCCATTGTTTTTGTGACCAATCATTAGATTTAGGAGATTCATGTCATTGTAAATAGCTGTGTTATAGATTGCTGTATACATGTGATGATGAACCGCTGCATTTTTTAAGTCAGTTTCAGTGGCTAAACTGAGTCACATTATGTTTATGCTGTTGGAAGGCGTTACGGCCCAACTAGACCATGAACAAACAAAACCTTTAATCAATCCAGTCAATAGAATATACATTTGAGAATGTTCCTTCCTGCATGGCTTTAATTCAGAATAAAGCCTCTTCGGCTTTATTAGCTATTTGTGGGAGTCTGTGTCTTTCTTCATCGTGCATCTTAATTCATTCCTGTGCTTGTGCTGCCGTCTGCTGTTCAGCCTCCCACCTTACACACTCAATGCTACTGTATCGTCTACTGTCTCATTTCTCTGTATTTACTAAAACCCACCACAGGGGGGCAGGCTGATATCAATCTTGTGGCTCTTGACGTCACCTTGACAAATCCTCTCTCTCTTGCATAGTTGTCAGAGCAGAATGGAATGTGAGTATAACGTGTAGGGATCGTCTTTTGCCATGTTCATCTTCTGATAAAGGAGGCGTATACTAGTTCAGATGTAACCATGTTGATTTATGTTAAAATGCTCATGTATGTAAGTAGTCATTAACAATATAAGTCAAAAATACTCCTATCATCTCCAACAAGCAACCGATTGTGCTGCTTTACAGCTGGACCAGTGTACCAAAAAATAGAATGGATATTTTTACTCGCCTAAAAATGATCGCTGAGCTTAATGCCACTAACCTAAATATTTACCCTAAACAGTCCTTTGGGATTGTTGCAGGTCAGTGGTATTACTAAAATTGCAATGTACCATCACAGAAGCCTTCTTGTAATGCCCTTTTAATTGATAATATAGGTGTAACATAACATATATTCTAATGTTAACAATGAGCTACAATGCTTAATGGTTCTGTTTTGCTGCAGGAAAAAAAATAATGGCCCAGTTATTTACCCACTGAAGGGTTTTCTCTGTGTGTTCCGTCCAGGTGCCCCCTACAAGAAGATACTCCCACGACGATACCGACATGTGGACCAGCGACCAGATCCCCTCATACCTTCACCGATGGGGCTCCAGCGAGGACATGATAGTGACGGCCCACTACAGCTCCACCTTGCCGCGCCGCGAGAGGCGCAGGAACAGTCTGGTCTCCTACCACGAGGAGAACCACCACCACCACCACCCGCACCGCAAGCGGCGGCGCTCTGAGGAAAGTGCGCACTCCCTCAAGCACCTGCCGCGCGTGGCCGGCGGCGGGGAGCACCGCGAGGACGCCCCGCGGTGTTTTAGCCGCGACGAGGTGATCAACTTCATCGACGAGACGCCGCTGCCGAGCCCGAGGAGGAGCCCGCGGCGCGCCTCCGCCGTCTCGCTCGCCCCAAACGTGTACGAGCAGCACGCGGTCCCCCTCCCCCACTTCCCCCTCACGGGACTTTGAGCGAGAGCCCCACGCGCTCAGGCGGCTCTCGGAACACAAAAGGAGCAGCAGCAGCAGCAGCAGTCGGGAGGAACGCGCCCGACGCTTTCGCCCAAGCCGGACCGGCCGCGCGTCGCGGACGGGGAAGCCGGCCAGGGAAGGCGGAACGCGCGGACTTCACTGGACCCCCCCCCCTTGCATGCCCTGGACGAAACCCCGGGGCTTGATTTGGGGTTATTAGAGTGACCCCGACCAAAGGGTCAGCGGGTGCACAGGTTTCCTAAGGCCCCCCTCGGGGTCTCCAAGGGATACATCACCTTCCACTCCGATTCTGTCGGGCTCCGCCACCTGTAAGCAGAGTCTCCCCTCCGGTGATATCCACATTTCTATCGAAGCAATGACAAGCAAACAGGGTATTGATGGTTACACGAAAGTGACAGCCTGGATTATTTGTTCTTTTTACTTGTGCCACTACTCAGTTTTACGATATATTTGGGACCAACATGCAACTATGCTAAATGGCTTTGGGAGCTTTTCTGAATGGGCCTAAAGTGAACTTCCTGGGGGACTGTGAAACGTTTGTGTCGTATTGTTATTCAGCTTTTATATCACCAAATTATGTTTCTTTTCTAGCACTGACACAAATACAACTTTTTTTTTAAATAGAGTGAGCATTGCCACATTGTTTTGACTGTTTGATGTTGTTTCTTATGAACTGCTCAAAGAATTCAAGTTGTCGGTAGTTGTTTAAGGAGGTATTTATCTCTTTCCTTTTTCTTGAATTCATTGTACTTTATTTTGCCTTTTAATACCAGTGTGTTTTTTTGTTGTACGCACACATTGGCTTTCAAACCAAACTCTGAATGGACTTCAGGACATGCCACAGTATACATGTTTTTCTTTTCTGATGTACACCTTTTCTATTATAAACACAAGTTTGTTTTATATTTTTTAAGCACCCTTTGTCAAAACTGAGGCTTTTAACACCAAACTCTTTGTTTGCCTAATAGTTTTAAAGTTACTGTGTGATATTGAGATATAACATGAAGACCCCTAAACTCCTAAGGAGCATGTAAAGTAGATTGAAATGTCATATAGAAGAAAGGATATTGGATTAGGGTTTTGTTTAATGGGACCGTTGCTTAGAACTTTTCCACCCAATTCCCATGCCAATGTTTATGTGTTACCCACAACTGTTACCCACCATTACGTTGAATATTTCCATATAAAACATTTGACGAATGCAGCTGGAAATAGTGCTTTGTCCCCATCAACTGAGCGTGTCTGCCTGACCTCACCTCTTTGTTTCAGTAATGTGTAAGGAAGCTCCAAAAATTATTTTATTCTTTGAATGCTCCTTAAGAAGGAACTTCTCAAATATGTAAAATGGGGCAGAGGTTGAATGGTCAAGCCTTTAAGCTGACCAGATGTAGCACATGTTGAATTCTGATGTTGTTCTTTGACCCTTTAAAGATGTTAGCAACAATTAGGAACATTGTCAAAAGGATGGGAATGGCGTATAGTAAATACGCTACAACAAAAAGCAGATCTGATATGTTAAGACTGATGATCTTCTATTCCCAGAGCTTAATTGACAATGAGTAATGGGATTTATTGTAGCCCCATAAATGTAAGCAAATCTAAGCATCCCCACATATGGATTCAGGAATGTGAGGAAATTCAAGTTTGCATTTATTAATTTTCTATATATATACATTTGGAGAGTAAAATGGTTCAATGGTCATTGTGACAAAGTATAAAGGTCGAGGACGGTAATGATGATGATTATTAGTGAGCATAGTTTTGTGATCTTCTTATTTTACCCCCTCACTCTCATTGCGTAAACTGCTTCAGAAAGCCTGTTGGTAAATTCATCAAGAAGTTTCCATGTTTTCCAAATGTGAAAATGTGCTTACTAAAAGGAGGGAGAACGCTTTGAGAGATATTAGCAGACCCAACTGAGCGTGGACGTCTTATGGACAGTAACTGCTAACCTATTTGGGCATTAAAAGGTTTTCAAAGAAGATACAAGGTAAGGATAACATGAAATTGAGATGTACCCTTTGACAGCTATACTAGCTGTAAACTTTTATGGTATTATTCAAGTAATAAAGTTGCACATGTTTGACATATATTCGTTTTATCTAGTTTATTTTGAATTCTTATGTATTAGTGTTTCTCTCACCCATTTCAGCCTATTCGATCGGACTGCAGTTATTTTTAGCTGAAATGTATCCTCCTTTGGAAGCGTAACATCACATTCACCTGTCAAACTTTGCTTTGTTGCAGATTTTTGCATTTTGTTGTTTACAATATTACATTTTGTAACATTAAAAGATTTATGACTCAAATATGAACAATGTTAGATGTTAGGATTTCTTTGTTCAAATTATAACTTTGTTAAAAGATTACTGATTAAATTCACAAAGTGAGTGATTTTAGAGTTATGAGTGTGGTTTCTCCTTTTGGCTGCATGTGAGACAACGAGAGACTCTGGGGATTTTTTTGAGCGACACATGAAGTCATTTTCTCTTCTACCCGTCACCATAAGTTACCCAATAGAAAAGATTGTGTGTCCTTTACTTATATGAGGTCTAGTAATGATCAATCCCCCTCCTTTTGGCAACTTTGCTTTCCGTTTGATCTAAGGAAACTTAACATAATTTAAAACTAAAAAAATCGTTTAATAATTGTATGATGAACCCTAGAAAAATCTGCATTACAGAATATATGAATCAATTAATAATTCAGATTTAAACCATTCAGCTTCCCATGAATGCACAACATAAAATAAGATTTAAGAAATGTTTTGTCACTTAAAGAAGGAAAACTATTTTACTCTTTCCATTTTAAGATAGTAAGCATTCAATATAAAGATTTTACGAGGGCAGAATTTCTGTTGCAGTTAACAAGCACTTACCAACTTCACATTACCCCTTGTGAAGTTACACAGATGCAGTTACGGTAACGTGAACTACCCAACGTTAGCTAGTAAACAGCTCCCCAAACAAACCTTTGTTCAATTATAAAATAATAAAAGCTTAATATTTTAGTAAAACGTATGGATTATGATTAGTGTGTACATTAAATATTGACTGACAACACTATTATATATATATATATATATATATATATATATATATATATATATATATATATATATATTGGAACTTTCGCGTGGACCTGAGCAGCAATTTTCTCCCACGCCGTTTCCCCGTCTTTTTTTTCTTCTAATAACGGGCTCATACTCTTGCACGCTTGCATTAAAGTTTCCACCTCAATAGGGGTGACGTATGCCGTTTGTTTGTGGTGGTTGCCATGGTGAATCGTAGTATCGTGGCTCCATTCGTGCTGCCTTCATACTGCGGTGGTGCACGCGCTCAACTCTGAGTCAACGTACTCCGAGTTGATTGAACCAACTCTAAACAGCTGTTTTGAAACCGAAAACTCAGAGTTTGTTAAACCCCCTACTTGAAACGGACCCCAGTTCACTGTATCAGTCAACAAATGCTTATGTTGATTATATTCAACATAGTTGCACACCAATGTTACCGCCAAGCAGAGTGGCGCAGCGGAAGCGTGCTGGGCCCATAACCCAGAGGTCGATGGATCGAAACCATCCTCTGCTAGCTTTTTGTCCCGATACCGGCAATCGTTGTTATCCTCATTTTCTTACTCCCCGTCCAAGGTTTACATTACTAAGTGAGTAATACTTAAGTATATTAACACCTCACAGCCCCGTAACATATACATATACAGTATTCTGACCATTTAACTTCAATCAAATTCTCTTTTAACTTTTGACCCAGCTGAGTGCATTCATTTAGAACCGGAATCAGAATCAGCTTTATTGGCCATCTATGCTCAACGCGTTCGTGGAATTTTACCCCTTTCTTTCTTTTCTTTGTTCTCCACATACACACGTTTTGGTTTTTTTTTACAAATAAATAAGAAATATATTTTAAAAAGGACAAGTATACACAACAATACAATACTTATCCAAGTATATTCGCGCATATATAAAAAATGTATGTGTATATGTATTCTTGGATTTATTTTTAGCAATAACATAACTTAAACAACATTAGAGAGAAGAATGGGAAGAAGCTGTTCTTGTGTCTGGTTATTTTGGCTCTGCAGCGCCCACCAGAGGGGAGGAGATGTAACAGGTTGTGTCTCTCCTGCCTAATTTATGACGTGTTTTTCTCTTTAGAAATAACTAACCAAACAGAAGGGTTAGAAAGTCGAAATCATGACTTAAAAAGTCGAAATTATGAGATACAAAATGATGACTTAAGATATGCGCATGCGCAGGCTCCTTGCAGCTGGTCTCGCTGATGAGCTATTAAACCGGGTCTGAAGTCTGAATCTGTGAATATCTTGCCAACTTTACCGAACTGTAAACGTTCTACGGTTGAAAAGTCCCGAAGAGAGTTCTCTCTTTATTGAATCAGTGTTGCCGACTCCTCAAAGAGGAAAGACGCTGCCAAATCAGCGGCGGCATTGCGCATGCGCGCATGACTTGCGAGGTCGCTTTTGACAAGAAGTCGCCAAGAGTCAATTGAAAATCAATTTACCAAACAACGAAGGAGCCTGCGCATGGGCATATTTTAAGTAATAATATCGACTTTTTAAGTCATGGTTATGACTTTTCTAACCCTTCTTTTTTGTGGCGGAAATGGGCTTCTATAAACGTCCCTATCTCCATGTGTGGCACCAACATACATGCTTCGACCTGTTACTTATTTTATCAGTCGATTCCTAAAAGTTTTTTTTTGTGTGTTAGGGTAAGTACGGTATTTCTTCACCAGTACCTTACTGATGATTTTGTACACATCAGAACACTAACAGCCGCTTTATCCTGATGAAAAAATGTCCAGATAGATATTACACATATTTTTAACATAGTATGCCATTTTCGGAGCACAGGCCATTTTCCTTTTGCACTTGCCCAAATCAATGATCAAGTGTACTACCCCAATCACCCAAAGGTCCTGTTTCACTCCCCCAAGTGCTACCAATAAATACATAATTTGGGTTATAAAAAAGGTCACGCCTCTGTCGAATATGGTATATATATATATATATATATATATATATATATATATATATATATATATATATATATATATATATATATAACGTTTTCAGGTGGATAAGTCTATTTCTAATCCTTCACATTGGCAGAAATGCATATGCCTCTGTATGAGAGAATATAGAGTCTAATGTATCATAGCAGTACCCTATGGTTGAATGCACTTATTGTACGTCGCTTTGGATAAAAGCGTCAGCTAAATGACATGTAATGTAATGTAATAGCAGGGAAATGAGCACACATAGAGAGGAGGGGTCTGCCCGCGCACTTCATCCACGTCTGCTCTCTTAGGAGCGCTCCACTGAGCCCAGTCTGATGCAAATAACTTATTCTCTTCCTCCCTTCGCTTCTCAGCCCTAATAGGCGTGGCTATTATAGTGCCAGACCTAACTAGGTTACTTAAACAATACTGGGAAGAGTTCATAGAAATTCTTAGAAAAAGTTGAAAGGCATTCAATATGGAAGTCACGTGGCATTTCCTTTCTCGGCTAAAACAAACTCCTCTCTCTGCCACGGGCCGCTGTTCTCTGGTCGCATCAAAAGAGTGGCTTTGACTTTGTGAAAGTATTAACGGGATTTACAGACTGAGATGATACGACCAAACAAAGAGCTGGAATGGCACGGTTGCGCTAAGGCGACTTGGATTATTTTTATTTTTGCGGTGGAAGTAAAAACCTTGAACCAATCATGCGTATATGTTTATTGTCGGTCGTAGACCTACAGCACATGAGCACTGCTCTCTCCCCGGGCAGGAGTGTCTTTTCAGCAGGTACCGTCTCAAAGAGCTGTGGGCGTTGACTCGATTCTCCTCGCTGCGAGGTGCCATCGTTTCCAACGCGGCCCCCTTTAGAATGGGGAGACACTTTATGACATCCCTGCCAAAGCAGCGGAAGACCACCAGAGGACACGTTTAAAGCGCTTTCTGAGAGCGCGCATAGGGCTTGTAGCCCCAAAACACAGTCGCGATCAGATTTACGTCAACGCAATCTCGCATGTGGGTACGCCAACAGTGATTCTCACTATGTCGGAAAAAATACACAGAAAATGCCACAGTGCACATAAAACTGTAGTCGAATACCATTAAGTCCCTTATGGTTTCGCCAAAAAGTTGTCTCCTTACAATTTATCATTTACTTTGCATTCAATTCACCGGAGAACATGGGTCTTTGTTTTAAAAATAAACAAACATTAAAGCTATACCGGAACTGCACACAATGAGGTTTAATCGTATAAATTGGTCACATAGTGGTATCACTCTGAATCGGGGAGGATGCATGTCGTGTGATTAGTAGCCTGTAGCAGAAAATTGTCCTGCTGTCCAACAAGCATCTGATTTGCCCGCTACTGTTTCGGTACTTATGTGTGAAACCAGAGAAGAATGGAAGGAATGACAGTCAAACTCCCACCCTCCTGGGTCTCATTTTTTCTATAACTCCACACTACTCATACGGATGCAAATAATACGTGAGTATTGACTAGTGTGGTGTTTATATTAATAGTAGCTTTTAACAGTGAATTTTCCTCTAATTTGTAAATGTCCGCCTCCTCAAATGTTGGTGAAGTGTTTAATACACTCCTCTTGTTTCAACAACAATATGGCTCAAACGCATAAATGCATTTTTCTGTTTTTCGTATGCTTAAAAGGAATGAAATAACTTTTTATGTTCTCTTTATGTTCGTCAAACTGTGGGTGACAACTTCAATTACATCATATGGGATCAATTGGAAAATTGATTGAATAAATGCTTAATATTTCTATGAGAATGGGGCTTTCGAAGGGTGAGCCATTAACTTCTATTTAACTTCATTCCAGCTCATTTGGTTTTATATAAATTATTCTATGAATTAACATTCACTCATCGATGATCTATTAAATGTGGAGTATCACAATCAGTCACGTGTCAACTTGAAATATGGATTAACGAGAATTTGTGATTTGTATCCTTAATAATTATATTCTTTATTGTAAATACATTAGATGTATTACAATTATGTTTGGAAGCAGAACAAACGGGTGGGTTCATAAAGGTCTAATATCAAATGTTCGACATCATTTCAACTGTAACATTTATTTTAATTCGTTGCCCACGTCATCGTTGGCCTATACGGAAATAAAAATTCACCCACCGGTTATATCATTATATTTTAATTTGAGAGCTTCAGCACGAAAGTAATTTAGTTTGAGAGGCAGGTACCCACAACGAAATCATGTTTTCACTGACATCTCTTTATGTATGTAAATCAACATGTGACACTCAGCTATCACTAAATCTGCTGCATCTTCTGCTCAACGTGGACGTTGAAGATCCGTAACAGTTTCAACAAGACAGAACATTCTTTCTGTATTTAATTTTTTTTTATTAAGAAAATAAAACATATACACAATAATAGCATAATGAGGTAATCTATACAGTGCAATTATAAACATGTAATCCGACAACTACAGCTTTACCAAGGCCGCCAGACATTGTGGTGAGAGTCTGCGACGTCATTCCCGTGACCGACCGGCTGAAACATCTTGTCGCTGGATATTTTTTCAGGAGAAATTTGTTTTGGCGCCACGGCGGGGAAGGCCTGTTTGGTTCCGGGTGCGTCTTCATTCGGTAAAGAGGAGGACGTGCTTGCACTCCGGGGTTTCATGGATTTGGATTTAGTCGTTTTTCTGCCCTCGGATCCAGCTGCCGACGGGAGAAGCCTCTGCACCTCATCCCGTGCCTCCGCCTGGTCCGGGACGCTGTCCATGGTGCTGGAGGCTTCCTCTCGACCCCGAGAGCGGCACAGTTTGCCGCAGAGCTGCGCCAACATCCAGCGGTCGCTGCCGTTCAAGTTGTCGGCCATCAGGAGATACCGGTTCACATTTGCCATGCAGCTGCGGAATCCACTTTGATAGTCAGAAAACTCTGAAACAACACCTGAAATCAATGGAAAGGCGTTTAAAGTTGAGAAAAACACACAACGTTGCGCGTAAAGCTGGTTTGAAGTATCCGTAATACTAACGCAAATCGTAGTATTTCAATATGGTGCTGGTTTATAACTTACAGCTTTGGATCTTTTGGAGATTCCTTAGATGTTTCACAGTCAGCTCCAGGATGTCGGCCTTTTCCAGTTTGCGCTTTCGAATCTGAGAAAAGAGAAGACATTGCCGTCAGTGCCGTTTCCCTCTAGTGATTACCTCAACATGAATTGGTATAATCCGAGGTAAAAAGTAAACATGTGCTGGACATTCTAAAGGTACACTGTGTATACTCACACTAGTGCTGTAGTAGCTCTCCAGGAGAGCTTTTAACTGGTCCAAACATTTGTTTATGCGAGCTCTTCGTTTCTTTTCCATGAGGGGTTTGGACACCTGTAACAAAACAAAAGCCAGTAAAATTAATATCACTTTTAAAACACTTCAATAGTTTCGTGGTTGTTTGTTTCTAAGTTTTTAAGCACCTTGTTTCCAGCGATGTGTTTGGACTTCTCTTCACAGCTTGTCGTCGCCACCATTCTGTTTAGTCCCTTTTCTGATCTATTTCCCTGTTTGGCGCACGAATGAAGGAGTTGAGCCTGAGTGGATTTTTATAGAGACACCCACTTAACATCTCAATGCAAACAGTCCCGCCTGTCTCTTGCGCTCAAATGAGTAACACTGGCGTCATTGGACAGCCAAAACCAACAAAAAACACACATACACAGAAAAGTGAATATTATTCAGTTTGAAATATAAATAGTAAATGGTTTATTTTTGCTAACTTAATCCGTTGTCGTATTTCAAACACGTCACACTCGTCAGACATGAATGTTATGCATAACACCGTGGTTCCTTTTCATAAATGAATCCGTTTGTCTATTGATCTGGATTTGGGGATAAGTGTAATGCATGTTTAACCCAATAAATGCACAGAGCACTAAGTTTCGCCTTCAAAATAGGTGTGCAAAGGCCAGTCCTATAACAACGTGTGGGGCAGGAAGCTATGGAGAAGCGTAAAAATCTTAAACATAATGGCTAATCATAATGGTTCTGCTTAGCGAGCATGCTGTGGGTACAATTTACTCCGGTATTCAATCTTTTATATGTGAGTTTCACGCCACCAGGTCGAAGGCAGCACCGTGGTAATTTCCTGCGTGTTCCCACAAGACGTCGATTTTCTGGTAGCCGCGGTGGTAAAAAGTGTTACACCTGTGAAAGTTTTTTTTTTTTTTTACAGTTAAACTACTTTTTAAAACCAGCGTATCCTTTTAAAAGAAGTAAAGAGAAGCTCAAAACATTTAGCACAACACCGGAGATTCTGCTAAATTGTTGTTGCTTAAGATGCACTATTGTGCGTCGCAGGTTTTTGTCTCCATACCAGGCGCGTTGAGGCACCGAGGAGAATTGTGCGCCGCCCCTTGTCCTCGGTCCCTCGCCTCCCAATTTTCCACACTGCTCCCTGAAAGGGGCAAAGGCTTGGGAAAGTCGTACCAGCTGAAACAATGTATTGACTAGACTGCACATCTTGAGCTCACACACAGAACATATTAAAAAACTAAATAGGGCTGGAGAGACACACTAAGTTATGTGACGCTCATTGGCTGAGACACGGCCTGTAAGCTGAATGTGATCATTCGGTGCAAATTAACTCTTATAGATTTATATCTATACTTATATAGATGATAGAAAGTCAGTTTAGTACGTTTTCGAAGAGGCTACACGGAGAAAACCTTTCATTGGCCAGGCCTTCTAGCCTGATCCGGGACACAATGCGTGTGTGGAAGGAGGGGCGTTTGTATTCAGTCTGAGGAGAGCGCGCATGAAAAGAGGCCGGTTTATGTGCTCCATTGATCTTTTCTTTGGCTTGCTTTGTGACCAGAAACGTGTGCGCATCAAAAGGTTCCCTCCGCTTCTAAGGCGATCTTCTCTTCATTCCGTTCTGACAAGATAACGTATAGACTTCGTGTACAATCTTCGGTTTCATGTGATGGGCACACAAGGCTATCGTGTCCAACTGCGTTATGCTGCAACTATGTTGTCGTTTATTAAAATTCAGTTTTGTAAAATGTATGTATTTCCAATAGTCTCGAAACTCACAAATCCCACTTCGATGCTATAATCGCAGCACAGGCATATCCGGCGTGTGGCGGCCAATAATTGCGTAAAATGCACCGGAAACTCATCCACGCCACAATTGTGCTGTGATATACTGAAGCATTTAATCGGTATGAAATTTGGTGTAAGTGAGCTTTCTGGTGTCTTTTGTCCTCGCTCGACGTCACATTAGCTGCACCTTCACGCTTGGATTTAGCGTGGAGCGTTGGTTTCAGCTTGAAGTCACGGCATCACAACAGTCGCCTGTTTAGTCATTCTGTGGCGCAGAGTAGAGATTTCACCGCTGATTATTCGGTATAATTTCAATTAGTGTTGTCTCTCTGGGGGTGAACGGCTCTCAAATCGTTTCCCTCCAACCTCACTTCTCTCAAGAGTCGTTATGTCATCATCTATCCATTAGAATGGGGAAATGGAGAAACTTGTGTCCCAAGTGGACCTAATAAAGCAAGTGCCATTAAATTACAAGTTAAGTGTATGTTTATAAAAGGATTCGGGCCCTCGCTCCACTTTCACCTTTCAGCCCCAGGTCATTCATTAACTCTACCGGACCTTTGTCATGGATGCATGCCGGCGGGACCCTGACAATGCTGCTGTAATAATTGGACTATTGGGGAACTTGTTAACAACAATTAGTGAAGCAATTATGCAATTACTGCAATAAACGATTTTGTTCCTCGAGGGAAACTGAGACATTTGCAAACCAATGGTTAGGCTATCACCATGCAGAAATGCAGAGGTTAGTCATCTATCGTTTAGGCTATTTCTGAGGAAAACATTATGTAAATAACAATGTCTAAGTATAACAATGTATTACAAATAACATACGCTACAATGTTAGTGGTTAGTGTAAACTTAAAATAACAAATAAAAGCCTGCATTTTATTTATGCATTCAGATCACATTCCACAATAAATTCTCCAATAGTTAAAATTTGCATGTGCTGCAGGCCGATGTATTTTTGCAAAACATTCTTTAAAATGACGAATGTATGCTGTGGTGAATCGCGTCCGTGTATTGCAAAGGCGTGCATTGAAAGGCTGCACCGTGTTTGCACGTCGCAGTTAATATATGCAAACAGGCCCATAACTTGGCGCACCGTGAGCGGAGCAAATCGATGTACCGCCTTCCATTCAAATGCCAGCACTGGTGTGACCTAAACGCTCATTGTGGGCAACAGAGTCACAATAAAAGGGGGCAGGTACGAGGACAGGTGCACTGGAAAAATATTAGAAATAGATACAAGACCTTTCTGAAAAGCCACGCGACGGACCTGTGGACGAAGCTCTAATCAAACATCAAATAGAAATTGCGTCATGAATTTCTATAGACTGGTCCTCGGGTTATTTAAAGACTTCTTACTTTGGTTTGGGAACACAATGGCCGCTGTTTGCCTGTGTGTGCCGGGGTTACCGCATGAAAAGACCAGAGGTGCACATTAACATCGCTTAAGGTTTTCTCAAGGGCCGAAATGAACTGGCTGGAAAGTAACTTTATAACTCGCTGGAGGATGAAGCCTTTGTCGAAAGAGACAAGTGCCTAACAAAAGGGGATCGCCATTGTTCAACACTAAAGCGCATGGGTATTGATGCCCCTTGAATTGCAAAACATCTGCCATTACTCTGAACCACTTGAGCAAGATTTGAATGAGAATAACCGAGCACCCGTTAGCGCAGTGCATTTAGCCGTGCGTAAAACAACAGTTAGCCATATGACCAACGTTGGAATGAAGGATTTAGATTACGATTAGGAGTATACTCCTTTATTTACATTTTAGCTGTACCATATCACCTTAGTGCTGCTCTCATTTCTGTTGCATTGAAAGTGTCCCCTTCCTAAATGAAAAATGAACATTTGAATGAATATGTATACAGCAGGGCCCCTTTCTTAAATCTAGACACAAAGCCCCTGTGGATAAAACACATCAATAGTTTTAACAATATCATACAGGTTAACAATTCCCAAATAACTGTCATTGTTGAGAGCGACCCAACAGTATTGATAATTCCACTAAAACACAAACTCATTTGGTCATTCATTTCTTTGTTGATAATCATATAGATTTTCTCATGTCAAACTGGTCAAACGATGTTTTATTATAGATTAAAATCCGAAATTGCACTAGTAGAGGTTGAAGTTGGGGAACATTTGATGCAATTTACCAGCACCTCTGGTGGAGAAGTTTTATTGTTTTACTCAAAACCAAGCGATTTTAAAGGCAAACCCCATATGGCCGCCGGAGATTGCCTCCACTTAAAGTATGATTTTGCTTCAAGCTTGAAAGGAAGGACCAGTTGCTGGGCAAGTTTTTCCCAGGGTTTCCCCCTTTATCTGACCAAAGTGGAAAATTGAAAGTTACAAGAGAAAAGCCAGTGGGCGTTCCTCCGATTTTCCTCGCTCCATATTTTGTAAAACCAAAATATGTGTCCCGTCATCACAAATGCCACCTTCATCGAATTTAAAAGATTAAATGAAATTAATCAAGGCATGTTGTATGTTGTAGAATACACACATTATGCGATATTGCAAGTCTCCGCAAAATATGAGCGTTTTCAAAATTTGGACCACTAAGGATTTATCACGCTTAAATATTTTAGTGTTTCATCACAAAAATAACAATGTAACAGGCTACACGAGACTAGAAAGTCTGCCCATGGAGGATAAATACGGTGCATTTCCGCGCGACAACGTGTGTGGCGAATGTAACTCTGAAATTGGTATGAAATCGTCAATTTGTTGGTGTCAGCATGGTCCGCTCTCCAAACGCGCCATATGCCATGTTAAGTGGCACCATTTACCAATTCGTTCCCAGTTTCACGGTCCGTCCTCCCCTTCTCCTTGCCAGGAAACTGAATAGCCACAACAAAATGGCAATTTACCCTCTGGATTTGTCACATACCCCCTGCGGCAGGGCTCTTTCCGTTTCACGTAGTGGGACGTCTCGGACTCACTGAGTGTCACAGCGTGAAACTTTGCCTTTCACGTGGAGGCAGAAAGCGGTGGAGCGTCAGCACTGTCTCGGCTCGGCGTTGCTGACGCATTTCCACGACCACGCTGTCAGTAAGTGAATCCGTCAAAACGACTCCAAAACACCTTAGCTTCCTGGGCATATAGAGCCTGTCAGGATTGTTCAAATGACAAGGCTGCAAAAAGAAATAAATAACAGACGCAATTCCGTAAACAAGCATATTATTTTGAGGCAAAACATTTCTTAATCGGACCGGTTACCAAATAATCAACAGAAGAGAACATAACTAATATTCATTTCAGAGCAGGAAGGTTAGAGGTATGTTATTGTTGGGGAGTAATAGGGGGTTCGATTAGTGCCTCTCAAACTGTGGGGTGCGACCCTCTAGTGGGTCACAGTGGTATTACAGATGGGTCGCATGGGTAAATTCTGAATTGCTTTATGTTTTATAATAATGAGATGGTTTATACATACCTGTACTGATTTTGTTATGTTTTGCACAGATTGAACTTGAACTTTACTTTGTTCTAACAAAATGGTAAAACAATTTGTTTCTTTTTTTCTTCTGATGGAGCAATCTGTTTTAGGCTACTTGAAAGTGATTGCAATTTTTTTATTCCATTATTTGAAAAAGCATGGACGGAGGAGGAAAACTGTTGTGTATACTATTATGTATGCATACAATCATAATCAATAAAAAATAAGAAAAAAACTGGACCTCCACCCTTAGTACCTCAAAGCAATAGCTTTTTTTAGTGTTTCTAAAGCGGATTTTGCATTTAATGAATAGTTCTTATCCAGTTTCATGTATAACGACCCATCTCATTTTTGTTATACCTTTATGCAGAATATGGGTTATCATGGGTTTCAGGTAACCCCTTTATCATTTATTACAGCATGCAAATGAGGTTGTACAGCAAATGAGGGAACTGCCAGTAGACATCATCCCTGTGAACTACTGCCATCATGTGGTGAGATTGTTGTTACAGGAACTTTAAAGAAAAACAACAGAAAAACGCCCACTCCATTTCTTTATTGAGTCACATTTACTGTTTAACCTCTGTTTATGTATATACCAATATTTTAATTATTACATGGGCTTAAAATAATTCCTTGTAGGATTTATAACTTTAAAATATGTTTAAGCAATGATTTACCGACATCAAAATGTATATTGATGTACTACATGCAGACATTCTGAGAAATGAGAGCTCGCAAAAGTTGCAAAGATGGGCTTGAATGCTGATCAATTTGAAGGAAAACCATTGTTGTTATTTTCTTTTCTTTCTTTTTGTGTGTGGCCTGTCGGTTCCTATTTAACGTGGAAACAAAATGTACTGTAAACACTTGTCTACAGGGTGCTCCTTTATTTGTTCTTTTGATTTTTTTTCTCAATATATTCTGAATTAGGACGGGGCGGTGGTGAGGTGTAGATATAGCACAGAATACATACTATAGTATAGAATACAAATACTAGTTAAAAGCCTAAGCTCTACCTTGAATGTTTTCAGAAGACTACATAACTTTTTCTGTCTACAGACTAAAATTGACTGGAAGTGCTACTTGCTGATTGTTTTGGTATAATTCTGAATGAGACCTTGGAAGTACTCCTGAGTGTTTATGTGGGATTGGAAAATTATGATGTAGCATTTTGGCATGAAATACCACAACAGAAAGGAGTAGAGACTTGAGAGTATTGCCAGGGCGTTAAGTGTCTGGATGTCCTTGCTCTTGTAAAGTAAGAATCCAGTGGCAAAGATGATCCATGTGAGGATCAGCAGGAGCAGACAAAAGGTTATTGCTTTGGCTTCATTGTAATTTTTAGGAAGGTCTTTGCCCATGTATGAGAAAACAAAGCAAAGGAAGCACAGAGACACAAGTAAAACCACAGGACCGATGGATGCTTTGATATTCATCTCACAAACAAGGACGGTTTTGTCTGGGTACCAGGAGGTTTCATTGTGGGGCTTGCAAGGTGCAAACATATTGCCAAAAAGAAGTAAGAGTGCCTGAGTAACAAATGCCAGCGTGATGAACAGCCACTGTCCATGATACTTTATCCACACACTGTGGAGCTTTGGGAACTTGGCAGCCATTTTGAAAATGCTAACAATTTGGAAAGATCGCACCACAAAACATGATAGACAAACGGTGTAAAACAAGAGAAATGGTAAGAGTCTCATGACACAAGAAGAACCGGTGGGCTTACCAAAGTAAAAGAACACACTGACATTAGACAGACACAGGCAGCCAAAAATGAGGAAGCACATCGGCCCCCCTGCAGATCTGACGACAGGTGTGTTGTAGTTGATGGCAAAGAGAACGGACATGGCTACTGTGAGGACCACCAAGGCCCAGGCTCCCACCATGATCAGTATGGCACCAATGTCTGTGAATGGGACGAACTCCAACTCCCGCAGATTACATGATGTGCTTCCTGCTGCAGACCATTCTGTTTCCTTACAGTTGATGCACTCGTAGGGATCCTCTGTTTAACACCAGAGAAGGACAGATCGCAATTCAAGTTAAGGTCATGTTGTTGAAAATACCAAAGAGGTGTGGAAGCAGTGTTACTCTTTCCATCTTTTAATTTCTTTGTTCTATTAAGGTTACATTTTTTGTAGAATTCAAATTTGCTTTAAATACCGCCACAATGCATTGCATGATGAAGGGGTCCACATGCAAATGAACACAAACTTTTTTAAAGAAACTTTTTCCAAACAGAAAAAAAGCTTAACAAGTGTAGGTATAATAATTTACCTGTAATGTTAATGTAAGTTCCATCAGGACAGATATTACAATTGAAGCAGCATTCGTGCATTCCATTTGTCTTTTTTGCAAATCCAACAGCACATTCTTGGGAACACAGGGAAGTCGGCTCCTGTACATGTAACAACAAATTATCAATCAAGCAAAACGAATACTGTAAAGTGTAGGGGAAAACACGGGGAAAATACTTTTATTGTATGGTTAATTTTAAAAATCTAACCCCACTAATAGACACGTATACATGTATTTATCTCTGAAAGTTTCACCATTAACAGCCACTATTGGTTGATGTTTCTAAATGTTGTGACACACTTTGAATAAGTGTCACAGCTATTACTCAACATATATGACTTAGTACAATGCGCACTCATTCAAAACTAAAACCGTTTGATGAATAAACTGTTACTGTATTTTATTATGCTGAACATATTATAACTAGGTTAAAATAACTTACTTCTCCATTTGGATTCCACAGAATTTTGGTGTTGTTGATGAACAATTGGTCTGATGGGTGAAATATATAAAAGCCGATCTCCTCTGCGTCACCACTTTGGTTCCAGAAAACTATTGAATAAAATCCAAATGTGGGGTCTCCGTTCTCATCAAATCGTATACGTTGATTTAAAAGTGTAAAGTTTGACTCCTTCAGCGCTGCTAAAACCTGATGTGGACAAAAAAAGTTCAAATGGCTGTTACCTCTGTGCGTTCACAATTTTTTTTTTTCAGTGTTTGAACTGCGGTGTGATGCCCCATCATTTCAGGAGGTGGTTTGGACTTAAACAACTGCAGACATTTTTCATCTCAGATTTTGATACAAAGGGAAGTAAAGTAAAGATAGTCAATATGTACATCTATAAGAATATCTAATATATTTACAATAGCTCAACACACTCAACACTTCAACATGGGGCAACCTGGAATCGAACCAACAACCTTGTGCCTCCCAGCAGACCTTCTCTAACCCCTGCGCCACGACGTTTTATATATGATAACAGGACGGACTAATCATTTTTTAGCTCTGTAAAGGGCTCCTCTCTAAATCAAAGAAATCAGGACATAAATGAGCACAATCTGAATACTCAGATTATTTGTATACTCACCATGTGTGGGAACACTGTGGTATTGTCATCACATCTCCCAGTGGCACATTGTAAGGTGTTGTGTAAGGCATGGGCGGTGGCATATACAGCAGCATAAACAGAAAAAGAGAAAGATGGGTCTGCAGTGATGACATCTTCTGCACTCACACTGCTGCAATTACAAACTTGGTTACACAATATATCTTCCTCTGCGTTTTCACAGTGGGTCTGGCTTTTGGAAGAATATATAAAGTCGCTAAAACCAGGTATTGTCATCACTGGCTGAGACACTCCAAGTACAGTTCCAATATTTTCGATTCCTTTCTTCTTGGGGAGCTTCTTGTTTAAGGACCATCCCTCATCTGCAATCCACACCTTGCTTGTGACATTTAGTTTTATAGCGGACTCAATGAGATCTTCAACAGTCATTTTTGGAGCAAAAACAACAATGATACCTATTTTCTGTGATTCTATCTGTTTGAACATAAGGGCGTAATTTGTATTGTCATTGAGGCTTTTGGTGTATGCCAGGCAAATCTCAGTGTCCTTGATCTTCTTTATGAACAACTCCACTCCATCAATGCCATACTCGTTATCACTGTTAAGAAAAGCAACCCAGCGCCAGTTGAAATGCTGAATAATTGCAACAATAGCATTTATGACGGCGTTATTGGGATGGACTGTTCGTAGTAGAGATGGAAAAAGTGTTTTTTTTGACAAGACAGAACTCGAAGATCCATAGCTGACCTAGCAAAGGAGGAATGGGAAAAAAAGTATTTCAGAGACAAATTCTCAAACGTAACATTAAAACACATTTCACAATTAATTGATCATACCGTATGGATAAAAGTATTCTTTTACTGAGTTTTTCTGACTGTAAAAATAGTTGAACTTGCCACAGGAATGAGATCCACCATCAAAAGTGGGGCCACAGTCAGGACCTGAGTGCTTGTAAAAGGACCAACCACTGCGATCACTTTGGACACATTTATCTTATGTGCTTGTTGCCAGTGTGGTTCAACCCAAGGTTGGATTAAACCATTGATTGAGATTAGTTTGAAAATATCTGGAAAGTTCTGTGTCGATGAGCAATGATCAAATATCTCATAGCCGAGAGATACGTTCGGCAGGAGGCTGGTGGAGTTATTGATTTCTTGTACAGCGAATCTCATCAACTGAAACATTCGATAATTTGGGAGAAGGAAGGGTTGACTGTGAACAGAGAATACACAACGGGATAGAGAGGTTTAATGACGGTGAAATGTGGATCAGAGCCTCTTATTTGCAACATGCTTCAAACATTTGTTGGTAAAGCCTTTAATGACAAACATTTTTGGACCAGTTAAAAGATATTACATTTACAAAACACAAGTTCAAATAACAAGAACTAAATTCAGAATGACTCTATGTGACTCTATGTGATATCTTTATTAACGTACCAATTAACTGTATACAGTTGTGAAGTAAATGTGCTTTGTAGCGGTAGCTATTTTCTTATGTGTCTGTCATTTAAATAATATTTCCATTATACCGTGTATTCTGTTCTGATTCTGTCTCCAAAAGATTTCCACTCATTATGAAACTCACCTTGAGCAGTCGATTGCTTCTGGTCTGTCGTGATAAACAGGAACACTTTGATGAATATCAAAAAGTCCACCAATCAAATACTCTCCTTCAAGCTGAAACTCTGAGGCCGGGGCAGTGCATTGAATCGAGTCATGTAGAAAAGCTCCCAAAAGACTCAGCAAAGCGAGAAAATGTTCCATTGTGAAAAGTACAAATCTGATTTGAACTCAGATGGGATGGAATTTGCCTTAGTAAGATATGTACCTCTGGTGATGGCAAAGCCCTAAGATAAATTTACATGCATGTGGGAATGAAGTTCATACCATTAATGGTTGGAGGACAATACCCAAATTGGAATGCAAAATATTCTAATTTTCTGCACAATTACACTCCAGTCACCACCGACATCCCTCCGTTCAATAGCCACTCTTTACCAAGCCCAGCTGCAAAGTGGACAGCATGGCGTCGGCCTTGCGCTTTGGATTGTTGCCGCCACATTTGGGGCCAGTCCCTTGTAAGTTTAACTTATCAGTAGGTAAACATTCAGACACCATAGTTCCCCATCTTGATGGAGAAGGTGTCTTTGGGGGAATAAGCTGGCACAGCCCCACTGCCAGCAGGTTTGATTATCTCTGTACACCACGACTTTGCCTGTTATCAAGAGGAAACCAGGGTTAAAGAGAGCCCTTGCAGAAAATACCAGAAGGAACTTTTGGGGCCATTAGTGCACTGGCACATACATTCCTGCATGTGTGTTGAGAAAAACAACATGGCACTGGGCATTCCACGGGGAGGCACAGAGATCAACAACTGCCCCTCCCAAAACTATTCGGTAACGGAATCAGCGACAATTGATGGACCCTTCACTCACCACTGGAGAGAGATGGTCTGGTGAGTTTTTGTTGACTGAAAAGGAAAACTGCGACACAGCAACAGGGAGCAAGACAGTTTCAAATGTTGTATTTTCTCTTCTGACCAGAAGATGCTGGTCAGGTAGAACTGGGCTGTTAAGAATGTGACCCATATCTCAGCCTACAAGTTGACAGCTCACTAATGTGACCATTAATTAACCATTACGACACAACATTACATTAACAAACTTCACCGCTCTTTAACTAACATGGATAAACTGAGGAGAACACTCACTTAATATGTATTATGATGGCTTCTTTCTTGTGAAAGCTAAAAAAGGAAATGTTAAGGCTGTTTCTTCAGTTCAATTTTATGGCTCGGTTTTTAAAGTTAATAACAGCAAAATCACGGATTCCCTCTGTGCAACAAGAATGGGATATCAAACCCCAGTGCGGCATGAAAACACCTCTATTCACCCCTTAAAAGCAAGATGACTTGTGGGGATGTGAGGTTCTGGATTGCTGATGGGGCTCAAAAGTCTCAGGGTTGTATCTCCGTAATCATCAATGAGCAAGATAAGGACTGCAAAGCCCAGATAGAGAGCGGCTGGGAGGGCTGCTGCATAGGTTCAACAGAGTTTGGTGGAAAGTTTGTAGGTACATAACCTATTTAGAATCTCAGACCAGTATGGACCACAGTAATAGTATCGCTTTTGAAAGTTAAAAATTGTTTCCTCTGTAACCGTGTTTATCACTGGCACATTGTTCAGGACATTGTCTCCCTTCCACCCTCTAAGACACTGTCATTGGGGGAATTATGTTCAGTAAAGGTATTTTTTTGCTACATCATTTTTATAATAACTAAAACCTCTTGTGGCAGAAAACCAATCGCTATCGCTGTTGCAGTAAACATTTAAAAATCAAATGGCCATTTTAAAGATAGATAAACTTTGAGAATGTTCTCAACGAGTTCAGATGACGTCAGTGGATCACGCAGGATATCCACAAGCAAATGCAAACAAATTGAATTAGTTCATCCAAGTACCTTTGGTTTCTGCTGAATGACCACATCCTCTCACAAATGATTGCATGAGTTAACATTGGCCACACAAGGGATTTGAAATAGGAAAATGAACATGATAAGTGGCCGGGACTCTCAGCAGGATTTGAATCATGCCTGACTGAAGTCAAATAAATCTGTATTTGCCACAACATCTTCACACGAGTGACATGTGCAGTGACATGGCACATTTCTATCCTCCAAGTGTTACATTTAAAATGCGTATGTGCCAACTACAAATACATATCAAGACCAAACATCAGTCTAATGAATAGTATTTCTAATTTAGTCCCATTACTGTGGCATTTTGTGACCGATTGAGAAAGGCCTTTAAAATCCACACTTATAGTCTTAAGTATAAAAGGACAACAAGGTGGCAGCAGCCCTTAACTTCAGTGTTTGGTGCATGCAGCATGCTGTGAAACGTTTGCACTCTCATTCCAAGAGGTTAATAACTTTGTAGTCAACGATGTGGCTCGTACTGTAACATCACTATTTTTTGTCTCTCTTTTCTATCCATCCTAATCTTAAGTAATGTACTTCGGACACATTCTAAACATGTAATTTCAACTCTTTGTTGAAAAAGAGGTAATACATTCACCAAAAATTGCTGTATGGTGTCATATTTAGAAAGACAGTTAAACATTTGTTATACCTTACAATTCCACCCCAATTTCAATATTTTAAAATTGTCACAGTAGAGGCAGACAAAATCAAATGCACATTCTGTCACGATGGCCACGCCGTGATCAGGTCGTTGGTGTGCGTGGCCGTCTGTTGATGTATTTCCAGTAGTCATGACAACTGGCCGTGGACCTTGACGACGCTCAGCTCCTGCCAATTACACACCTGGCTCCAGTTCCCGATCAGGGGGGTATTTAAGTGCCGTCCGGAGATCCAGTCCATGCCTGATAACACATTAAACAGCCTCAATTTTATCATAGCTTAATCATAACCAAAGTTTTACTGTGTATCAAATTCTGTTCCCGCAAGAATTTACTTACACTTTGTTAAACAAGTCCTGTTGTCGTCAATATCTACCACCAATTTTCACTCCGACTCTAAAAAATGTATTATTTACTAGCCTTGATGTAATGTCGGGACCACACCTCTTTGTTATACAACACTGGCCCATTTATCAGGTAGTTAGGGCCTGAGCCGAGTGCAAGTCGGGCGAAAGCCCTATTGTGTTTCGAAAAATTGTTATTATTATTATTTCTCCACTTTAATCGCACTTTTGAGGACTTTATCATATTCAAAAACTCTTGAATTTTGGCGTGTGAATCAGAAGTGCGTAAAATTTCGATATTCTCGGGGTTGCGCATTTGGGGATACAAAAATGGCTCTGTAGTGCCCCCTGGAAGTGCTCCCTCTGGGGAAATTTTTGCCCACTTTCACCGATTGACTTGAAATTTTGCACACAGGTCCTCTTGGATATGCTCTACAAAAAAGTCAATAATGGTATCCAAATGCGGCTGGCAAAATTTTCCGCCATTTTGAATTTTCGCGTTTTTGCGAACTCCTCCTAGACGCTTGTAGATATCTCACAAGCCCATGCTAGTGTGTCTCTGTGCCTTACAAAGTGGCTGGCCAGGTCTCCTGTCGTGCATCACTGAAAACCTTCCTTTCTTGCTAAATGTATCTACATGTATAACAATTATTGGTATTGATATATGGGTTATTAAGTTTATATTCTTTATAATTCTTATAATATAATTCAAGTTTATATTCTTTATAGAAAATATTCCTTTAAATTTAGCATAGTTAGCCATCAAGCTATTTTTTATCTGGAGTCCCTGGACAAATGTCACAAAGTAAATAGCAGAAGTTTAGATTTTAATTAAAATGAGTGCACAGTGATATATTCCTCACTAGAGAATTTATTTTACTGTTCAACAGTGTGGACGATTCAATGCCTTGAAGGTCAGAAGGGTCTTCCACTAGGAGCATATTTTTGTGTCATGTGTAGTTTGCTTCACAATTTAGCTTAATATTTAGATAAATAACCACTACTCTTTCTATTATGTATTTTTTTATTGTTAGCACTTAACAGTTTTATCATGTAGCACTTTGGGATTTTCTTAAATATAAAGTGCATTACAAATTAAAAAAAAAAACTTTTTTGCTAAAAATTTAATTAGATGGTTGATCCTGTTTTCTGTCAAAGAATAGTATTAATCTAAACTAATTCTCCGCAACGAAAATGAAAAAGCATATTTTGCACAGTTGACTTTCTTCTAAAGTGATTTATCGTAAGTGTCAGAAGTCATCATACGTGAAAGCTAATGTATACTCAGAACCTAGTGACATGTTGGCCCCCATCTCCAAAATAACTTGCCCGAATAATTAAAAATTTGCTCATTTCAAGGCCTTCTTTATTTATATAGTCCTCAAAATAAAGCTTAACAATAAAAGCAAGCATGTAGCATTAGTTACATGTCATTGAAGAAAAAACAAACATGATTACAGTGTACTCTAAACAGATGGCCTGAAGCGCTTCGGCTTTTCTTTCATAGATACATATTCACTGGAAGTTTAATTGCTGATTGTTTTGGTATAATTCTGAATGAGACCTTGGAAGTACTCCTGAGTGTTTCTGTGGGATTGGAAAATTATGATGTAGCATTTTGGCATGAAATACCACAACAGGAAGGAGTAGAGACTTGACAGTATTGCCAGGGCGTTAAGTGTCTGGATGTCCTTGCTCTTGTAAAGTAAGAATCCAGTGGCAAAGATGATCCATGTGAGGATCAGCAGGAGCAGACAAAAGGTTATTGATTTGGCTTCATTGTAATTTTTAGGAAGATCTTTGCCCATGTATGAGAAAATAAAGCAAAGGAAGCACAGAGATACAAGTAAGAGCGCAGGTCCAAGGGATGCTTTGATATTCATCTCACAAACAATGATGGTTTTGTCTGGGTACCAAGAGGTTTCATTGTGGGGCTTTGGAGGTGAAAACATATTGCCAAAAAGAAGTAAGAGTGCCTGAGTAACAAATGCCAGCGTGATGAACAGCCACTGTCCGTGATACTTTATCCACACACTGTGGAGCTTTGGGAACTTGGCAGCTATTTTGAAAATGAAAACAATTTGGAAAGATCGCACCACAAAACATGCTAGACAAACGGTGTAAAACATGATAAATGGGAAGAGCCTCATGACACAAGAGGAAGCAGTGGGCTTACCAAAGTAAAAGAACACACTGACATTAGACAGACACAGGCAGCCAAAAATGAGGAAGCACATCGGCCCCCCTGCAGATCTGACGACAGGTGTGTTGTAGTTGATGGCAAAGAGAACGGACATGGCTACTGTGAGGACCACCAAGGCCCAGGCTCCCACCATGATCAGTATGGCACCAATGTCTGTGAATGGGACGAACTC